GGTTGGGGTAGCGTTATGGTGTGGGCGGATATCTCTCATCATGTACCGATAGCTGAGATGACGGCAATCCCCATGTGTTCTCTCCTCAACATTTTAGTTCAATAGCGAGTACTTTCCTACCTCACACAAATCTGGCTTTGCGTTTCTTTTCTCTTGTGTGTGCGTGTGTGTGTGTGCGCGGGTGTGCGGGTGTGTGATATATATCTTAGCAATTACAGCAAAGTAAAATCCAATCTCATTAAAATCAGATCTTACTTCTTGCTATCGCTAAACAAAGATCTGAGGACATCCTATTAAGGATCACGTCAGAACGACCTTTCATCCAACCAATCAGAGCGTCGCTTACCAGATCATGAAAGTGACAGTCGGAATGTGTTTTCTAATCATGCAACCACGAAATATTTTACACGGGGTATTCCGAACGACAGTTACGGGTTTTATGATTATATCCATACAATCTAGGCCATCTATAAGCCATTCCAGAATGTTCTTCTTATCAGTTTTCATTTTTTGAATCGAGAATACGTCAAAATATGTTTCAAAGCGTTGTCGCCAGTTTGAAACTAGTGTCGTAAAGCTCGAGAAAGCTGCCTTTTGATTGGCTAATGTGGATTTCTTGTCAGTCATTTTAGTGGTCAGTCAAAATTCGCGAAAGGTCGTTCTGACGTGACCCGTAATGGGGTGTCCTCGGATCTTTGATTTGATTTTAATGAGACTGAGTAAAATCATTGTTACAAACCGAAAGATATTTAACTTGTTTAAACGATAAAAGTTTCATTAGAGCTTATTGTAAACCTAGAACCAACAGTTATTTAGAATCTTAGCTACCCCTTATTTTGTGAAGTCTCTCGTGTGTCTTCTCGTGTGAAAACATTAACTCACAATGTACATTTAGTTAAACTTGAATTTTTTTTGATTGCCATGTCTAAGAAGTTGACGGATTACAATGTTGACGAAAGTTTATGGGTAACAAACGTCATCATTATTCCGTAATAGCGACGTTTCGGTAAGTGTCGGGTTTTAGAAATAGATTTAATGTGTTTGTGCTTTTTCACCTGCTGCTGTAGCACGGAACTATTATTTTAAAAGAACCAGTTTCTTACAAGAATAGATATAAGGATTATTGTTTGTTGACTATATTATGATATATCATCTTTAGTCATTGTGTGTAATAAATATATTCAACTCTCTATTATTCTTTTTCCTATCCTGCATGGGCTGGTTGACTTATATATAACGTGTGTGTGCGTGCGTGCGTGCGTGTGTGCGTGCATGCGTATGTGCCCAGCTCTGACAGTGAGACACTGTATACTGATTCCGATCCGACCAGTCTTCGTTATGCCCTACTCCAAGCATCGTAACAACAAGTACCATCTTTTAAAGTCTTTGGTATGACGCGGCCGGGAATCGAACCAGCGACCTTCCTCTCTCCGGGCAGACTCTATCCACTCGACATTCAGAAGAGGCATTATTAAGTACGCCAACAGCAAACAGCAACAGCAAACATATATAATTCTCAACTGTCAACGTAACGGTGGAGTGGCGTACGTTCGTCGTCATGCAGAATACTCGAATTCGAATCTCAACATGAGAGCAACATTCGTGTGAAGTGTATGTCACGCCGCAGTAGGTAACAGTAATAAACTATATTCAGTAGGACTTGGGTCAGACAAACCGATGGTTGATAGAATGAACAACGATCAACGCCGTCGTGATACGACGGCAGACGTGGCCGGTGAAGTCATCTTACAAAGCTACACACGCATTCACAGACACTTTTGTAGCCGTAGCATTCTAGACCGCCTCCGTGGTCTAGTGGTAAAGCGTCCGTCCGGAGAGAGGAAGGTCCGGGGTTCGATTCCCGGTAGATTCCCGGCCGCGTCATTTGTTGTTAGCCTGTCTGGCGCTCGGCATTAAGGCGCTAAAACAAGGACTGGTCGGCTCGGAGACGGTATACTGTGTCTGAGTGGGGTATTCATGTTAAACTGTGGCATGGTATGTCAGTGTGCTAGCACTAAAAATCGGCATCAGTCCCGACTAGTACAAGCAGCCACACACACACACACACACACACACACACACACACACACGTGCCTGCACGGCGCTATATTAGTGCAATAAGATGGGACGCGACGTTAAAGCCCATTTCACCTTAGCATTATGTATGTTCATATGTCGTATCTGTCAACACATTTACGACTCAATGGAATGTGGGACAGAATGCATGCGGAAACAATTTAGAATACACTGTTGCTTCTTGGGGTGACAGCCCGTCACATTTTTACCACAACTGCACATTACACGTCAGAATGTTATTTTAAAAAAGCATGTAATGACTGCGGGCAGGAAATATCAGCGAGGACGTCACTATTTGCGTTCTCTCTTTCAACCATCACGTATGGAATACTGTAAGGGACATTCTCGCGATCTCGCATTCTCGTGTTTTGGGCATATTTACCTCGTTTCCAAAGGTCGAGATCGCGAGAATGCGAGATCGCGAGAATGACCCTTACAGTATTCCATAATCACTTGGTTTGTGGGCTTCTTTTTCCGAGACTGTAGGCTCGCCGGTCGAAATATGACAATGGCAATCTTTTATTGTTCTTTAGGTCAACAGGTCTATAAAACAAATTCAGTTATATATATATTATATAAAATACACATATCAACTGATTATTAGTTACTGTTTTATATTTCCATGGAACTTGGACATATCATGCACAAATTTTGCAAACAAAAATAAGGTTTTCTTATTATGTGTCATGACTAATATTAAACATATTTGAGGAAAAACATGAAGAAAGTATTATTATTGGGGACAGTGCAAGAGTTTTTTATCTTCTAAAAGTGCTGTGTATCCCAATTTGGGTGTGTTCTATTGCAGGCTTCTTTATGGGGTGAGGTGAGGTGAAAATGGGGTTTAACGTCGCGTCCAAGATTATTGCACTAATATACCGACGTGCATGCACGTGTGTGTGTGTGTGTGTGGCTGCTTGTACTGATGCCGATTTATAGTGCTAGCTCACTGAGATACCATGCCGCAGTTTAACATGAATACAGACAGTATACTGACTCCGAGCCGACCAGTCCTTGTTTTAGCCCCTTAATGCCGAGCGCCAGACAGGGTAACAACAAGTACCATCTTTTAACGTCTTTTGGTATAACGCGGTCGGGGATCGAACCCCGGACCTTCCGCTCTCCGGGCGGACGCTCTACCACTAGACCACGGAGGCGGTCGGCTTTTTTATGAACATATAATAGCGCAGAAATGGATACATGTCAGTTGGTATTGGCATAAGACGGAGCCATTATCGAAACCATTTCACGTGAAAGGGTAATATGAAAAAGGATTATCCCAAAATCACCATAGGTGCCAAATATGGTAACTTGAAACTATTATTTAGCACAAATGTGCTGAACTTTCGGTGACATTTTTTTGGTAACTTATTGTAGTACCAGGTCATCTGCAAATAATTGAGTTATAACCTTGTAAATGTCCTCCGATACATATATGCCATCAACAAACGTTTCTGTAACATTTGCCACCAGTTCTTTGATGAAGAGTGAAAAGAGAATTGGGCTTAAACTACAACCTTGGCGAACACCAGCTTTGCTACAGAAATTATATAACGATTTAAATCCATTTTGGCAACCATTGATTTAACTTCATCATATATACGTTGTATTGTTGTCAAGAATTTTACCATCTATGCCATTTATAAGAACATAACAAATAAATTGTCTTCTGTCGGCAATATCGAACGGGTTGTTTTTTTAAATCAGTAAAAGGCAAAGTAAAATCTCCCCCTTCTTGTTGCTGTATGGTTTTGTGCCAGAGTTTGTAAAATAAAAATACTATCAATCGTTGAGTCATCCTATCTAAAGCCACCTTGATATTCCCCAATTATTTGTTCCATTTCCAAAAAGGTGTTTAGTCTTTTTATCTGTGATTGATGAAAAAATTGTTCTCATTGTATTCAATAATGAGACACCCCTGTAATTATTGGGATCCTGTGTATAACCTTTGTTGTATAAAAGAACAATAATGACTGATGTCCATGCTTTTAGGTAGTAACTTTTTTGTAGAATATAATTTAAATATGGTGCGATGAATTATTTCTTTTTGAAGTTCTGGAGGTAATCCATCATCTCCAGGTGATTTATTACTTTTAGTATTCCTAATGGCTCCTTTAATTTCATCATCACTAATTTCACATGATCACTTGTCATTAGGGTTCGAATACAAATTACATGAATCTGGGTTATGGTCATGTAAAAACTCTTCTTCTTCTTCATCTGTTGCCGGTTCTTTAAAGTATTCCTGCAACTCAATAGCAGTACTATAATTTGTAACTGATGTTTAAATACAGTGACGTTGAAATTTCCAAAACCCTTCATAATCATTATTTCTTAATGACTGTTGTATGTCAACGCCTTGTTAAATAGCAGCATTTAGAAATCATGTAGTTTCTTACAAAGGTTTCTTATAAGAAAAATATAATTGGTCACAGAACAAAAATGAAAATAAAAGTTTTCATACTCTTTTTTTTAAGTAGTAATAGTCTTTGGATTTAGGGCGAACTTGGTCCTAGAAAAAGCCTGTCTGCGCCCATTTATATGAAAAAACATTAAGAAGAGTCATAAGCTAAGGTTCGACATTATACAATTTGTGTTCCTAAAATATTATCTGTACGATACGAAAACACACTCGGCTTATAATCTCATTTCTGATTGGATTGATACGGTTGATTATATAGCATTATCCAAACGACGGTAAGTTTGCCAACTAAATTTTGTTCACCTCCAATAACAATTATTATCAATGCTTCTTTGATTAAAATCATGAAGACAATTATAAACTCTCGATTAAGTATGTTATCGTCTAAAACTTAAATATTTTGACGCCGCTTTAATATAGCAGGATGGAACTCTTATTTAATCAAAATAGATGACATAAATTTGACAATGTGATGTGTTTTAGAGTTATCTGCCCCTTTACACGCAGCGCCACCTTTACAGCCATATGTGTTTGTATACAGCGAACAACTGAGCGAATATTCCGGCGGTTTATTTTATCTGGGAAGTAGATAGGTTGAGCTAATTCATGGATTCAGACGAACCAGGTACTTACTAAAATCTGACCAACGTATGTTGTCTGATATATGATACAATTATGGATATTCAAAATCATAATCATGGTATTCTTTGACTGTTGCACATTTTCGAATTTCTGCATACACAAGTCTTAATTTTGTTATAATGTTATCGGTACATGTTTGCTTAGGATATACTCAGTTATTTCAATGTGTTGTGAAAATAAACGGAAATAAAAAGTCTAGGTTTTTGCTTATGTGTAATAGGTCATAGAAATGTAAACAAAGATCTGATGATATTGCCATTATAGGGCCTATTTCATGAAACACCTCACTTAGCAGACACGTGAAGCCATCATCAATCATCAACTGTAACAAAAACAAATTCAGTAGTTAGCAAACGATAATATCAAAGGTCATCTGTGGTTACTGTTTTTATATTTCAAAGTAATGAGGAATACTCTGTTTTAATCAACGATGAAAACAACACTGGTGATTATATCAGATACATCTTATGTAGACAGTTGCACAGTGAAGATAAAGCAGAGATGGAAGAACATTTGATACTGGACTAGGGTTTTACCAGGGATGTGTCAAGAATCCCCAATGAAGGGCCTTGGTCAGGCAAACTTGTTAACAATTGTGATTTTTCTAAACAGTTTTTTTTTAAGGGTATTTTACATTGCAGACAAAATGATAATGTAAAATTATGCCAGTTCTTCACTTTTGCTTTTGTTATTAGTGGAATACAGGTTACATTAACCAAGCCATTAGTTAAACTTTATTTAAAATATAGTCATCCCTTGTCATAACACGGGTATCAGGGTCCATGGATGAATGTTGGTAATATTGTGCATAGTGCAGGCTTGAGTACAACTGCTGTTTACTAAATAGCAGTTGTACTCAATTTTAGTGTATGTTTTGTATTCAGTCAAAAACTACATTGTATTGCCTCAGCAGCGTTAGAAATGGGCAGTTGTCCCATAGTCCTTGCCAAACTGCCCAATAGTTAAGGTATCATAAGGACTTGAAGAAATTTGTCATTTTAACGGGTTTTGCTATATGTTATCATTATAAAGACTAGTGGAGAAAAGTTTTAAGTTTCTACGGCTGCTCAGGTGAACAAACATGAGAAAATTAACAACCTTTGTAAATGAAAATTGCAATTAATCAGTAAACATCAGCAGACATCATGACACCACACTTATCCTTTTACGTTAAATCAAATTGAAAGTTGCGAAAGTGGTCGGGTGTGTCACGCTCATGGGGGACCCTCGCTCTATTGATATAACTCGATTAGATATCTGTATATAATGTCTGTAGAAGCTAGAATGCAAACCGAATTTGATGCGTGTGACTATTTTGTTTGGTTTAATAAAGTGTTTGTAAATATCTCTCGTTCTCATTATTAATTTCTTCAGTTCTGCCCTGTAGGCTAGTTGCAAAATGAATGACGTCTCGCGATTTTTTATGAATGAAAAAAAGTAGTCCCTGTGTGACAGAGGTCACGGTTATCCAATCAAAACGAATAAAACAAGGTCAACCTTGTACGACACACGTGTGACGTACGGATTTAGTATCTTACCACCTGTATCTTCACCACGTGGGTAATAAATACAACAATCAAACACTTCACAGTAAAACCACCACCAATATCCCAATTCACTGTATCAGTCACTGCATAGTCTGGTCCAAACAGCCATGATATATCTGGAATATATTGTATATTGCTTAAACAGTGTTGCCATCCATACCAAGTTGAAAGTAGTTGAATGGCATCTTCATCACTTTACGAACCTTCGCCTGGTGTTATTTTTAAATAAACATCTCCAAATTCCTTCTCAATGGCTACTGTGATCAAGGAGCCCAAAAGTAATTGTCAATTGAAACAGTGTTTTCTTAAAGTTTAGCTTTAGTCAACAGAAAAAAAAACATATGTTGTTGTTCTTGTTCTTGTTCATTTAAAATATTGCTCCTATGTATTTACATTATATGTTGTTAAGATCTAAATCTAAATTAATATTTTATATAACAATTTCTTGCTTATTGCATAGGGTTACGAAATTACTTTTGATTTTGGGTATGAGATTTCTCTATTATTGGGGAACGAATCCGTTTGGGTTACACATTTTTATTCACCCCAGTGTCAATGTGACTTGTAGGGAGTCCTGTTTAGGATAGCTCGCTTGCAACTGAGGTGACCAGACCCATGAAGATCTGAGGTAGAATAGGTGTATGCTTGTCATAACAACCGACTAACAGGATCGGGTGGTCAGGCTCGCTGACCTGGTTGATGCATGTCACCTTATCCCAATTGAGTGGATCGATGCTCATGATGTCAATCACTGGATTGTCTAGTCCAGACTCCATTATTTACAGACTGCCGTCATATAGCTGGAATATTGCTGTGTGCAGCCTTGAACAACAAATATACAAACAAACAACTGTTTATCTTAGTTATAAATATTGTAAACATATGGCCTATTCCCTCTTGCTGCATGGTAGAGAGTTAATGCTGCTTGACACTAACCATCCACATGATTTAAATCCCAGATTCTTCAGCACCAAGATCTGAATCACTTCAAGCCCTCCTGAATTAAGCTGAATTTTTTGTTATTTATGGAAGACTGTTCAACTTCAAAGTACTGTTGCACCCTACTCAGTCTAATCACCTTCCCTCTGAGGACCTGGGTTCCCAGGACTCAATTGTTGTCATGGAGCTGATAGGCGGAATGACTTGCCTCATTGTCATCATAATGTGGGATTTTGCTCACAATATCGACCGCTTCTTTGTCTGGCTCTGGGTGTTCTTTTGTAGGCCATCTAGATTATTGATGACTGGTGTAAAACAAGCCTCATTTCAAATTTGTTGTTAAATGTGCACTATCACCTTGTGTTTGCAGGCAGTGGGGGCAGTACACCACTCCAGGATGAGCCAGACTATGAGGCTGAAAATGGGGAGGTAAGTGAGTCGTTTATGGAACGAGTAATTTCAATAACACCTTGGTACAGGCAGACATAATATATCCTAGCCCTCTCAACATTGCTATATAAGTGCAATAATCTTGGACGCGATGTTAAACCCCATTTCAACTAACCACCTCACCTCCTAGCCATCTGGTGGAGGAAGCATCAGCAATATACAGTGATATACAGTCAAGTCTCGATAATCCGAAACTCGTTAATCAATAATCAGCTTTATCCCACACCAATGATGGGAACCGAAAAAGTCAGTGCTATTTAGACCTGTTAATCCGTCTCTCCAACTCTGACACACCTAACTTGCAATGAATTACTGAAATCACTCATTGATACGTCTTGTTCATCCGAACACAATTTTGCGGAGTATATGCTTACCCCTTCATCAGGTTAATAAATGCTATGAAGCAGAGAACATATAAATGCACCTGTAAGAACAACAAAAGTACTAAGATAACCCTGGAAGCTTAACAAGGGAAGCCAACAGTTAATTGGCGCTGATAGGTGATTAGCAATGGACAAATGGAAGCCAGCTCTCCAACTCTGACACACCTAACTTGCAATGAATTACCGATATCTCTCATTGATACGTATTGTTAATCTGAACACAATGTTGCGGAGTAAATGCTTACTCCTTCATCAGGTTAATGAATGCTATGAGGCAGAGAACATAAAATGGCACCTGTAAGAACAACAAAAGTACTAAGGTAACACTGGAAGCTTAACAAGGGAAGCCAACAGTTAATTGGCGCTGATAGGTGAATAGCAATGGACAAATGGAAGCCAGCTGGATAACTAGCACAGACAATAATCAAAGCAATAAGTCCCAAGCACTGGGCAGATAAATGTGGGTTTGTGTATGTTCAGCCATTAACATGATTAAAATAAAGTTGTCCAAGAATTCGCTTAATAACGGAGAATGTACTCAGCTCAAACCAATCTTGGTAAGTTCCTAAGAGCACTTCAACCTGCATTTTCCTTGTGAAAGGAAAGTTACTGTACTTGCTGTTTCCATAATAGTCACACTTTCCCAGGATTGTCTGTCAATATACAAGCAGTTTCTCTTCAGGACCTTAATGGCGCCAAGTGTCCAAAACACAAAACATTGTATTGACATAATCATGATAATTTATGTACACACTGAATATGCTGCAAAAGACAAGCCCATTTTCAAATAGTCCCGCTTCTTCTCCCTGTGTTGGGTGGAGGCTTCATGTTAATGATACAGAACATTGGTAAGATGATATTACGTCATAATACATCATGTAAATCTGTAGGGAAGATATCAGCACTTGCCTGAAACAAGCAGCATCCTTGCAGAGAATCAGATCAGTTCATTTTCTAGGACATTGACTGATGGTTACCGTATTCAACGTAATAAGTGCACCACTCTAATATGCGCCCACGGCGATATTTGCTAATATATTAGCTAGTGAACAATCCCAATTATCACCCCTTCCGATTGATAAATGTACTCAAGACTATTCGTGCATAATATATTTGTTATATGCACCCTTAATTATGGGCAATTAAGTTCTGGAAAAATTTATTCGTCATATATAAACATTTCAGGCTCTCAGCATAAACCACGAAATTTAAGATCTTTCAACTCTGTTGTTTTTCACCAAAATAATATTCGAATAAGAGCCCCCTATTTCTAATTTTGAGAGTGCCCTGGGCGCTTACTATGTCGAATACGGTATCCATAATGTCCTGCAGATATGGTAAAAATTTGGTAATGATGACATTGAAGTATCATATCAGAAGTTGATAAACAAGAAAATGTCCTATGCCATTTGTCTCTGTCAAAGTCAGAGCACCTCCATGGTCTAGTGGTAGAGCGTCCGCCTGGAGAGCCAAAGATCCGGGGTTCGATCCCCCGCCTCGTCATACCAAAGAACGCTAAAAGATGGTACTTGTTATTACCCTGTCTGGCGCTTGGCATTAAGGGTCTAAACCAAGGACTGGTCGGCTCAGAGTCAGTATACTGTGCCTGAGTGGGGTATTCATGTTAAACTGCGGCATGGTATCTCAGTGAGCTAGCACTATAAATCGGCATCAGTCCGGACAAGTACAAGCAGCGACACAAACACACACACACGTACATGCACATCGCTATATAAGTGCGATAATCTTGGACGCAACGATAAACCCCATTTCACTTCACCTCTGTCAAAGTCACTGCCTTGTGCAAGTCATGTGAATGGAAGTGCTTCTTTCGTTTGATATTCTGTACTCATCACTGCTTATTTCAAGTGTTTTGTAGAGGAAGTAAGTTTCCCTGATTATTTTACATTTTGTGTAGTGTATTGAAACTGTGTCGTGTGCTTGGTCTGAGGTCTTGTTTTGCTTGTGTTTAAGGGGGAAGAAGATGGCCCACCTCGTACTCCTGGCGGAGAGTCAGACCATGGCCCCCAGAGTGTTGAGGCAGGGGGCGATGCTGAGGGGTCTGACAATGACCAGCCAGTGACGCAGGCTGATGATGGAGATGACTACTTCAGTGATGGCGGCGAGGTAGAGCGAGAGGAAGTCCAGCGGGATGTTGACGATGACGACGACGTTGAGCGAGAAGAGGTGGAACGGGAGGTGGAAGATGACCAAGAATATCAGCCTGGCAGTGACAACGAGGATGCCAGGCCTGGATCAGGTAGTCCACCAGGGTCTCCAGCCAGTGGATCTGTTGCTAGTCCTCCGGCGTCTCCTATGAGTGTTGCTAGTGGACCACGGTCTCCACCTGGAAGTGGGCCCCAGTCTCCGGCTGGTAGTCCCCCAGGATCTCCTGGCAGTCCAATGAGCATGGACGGGTCTGGTAGTCGACCTGGGTCATATGTCGGAAGTGGCCCCCAGTCACCTGCTGGCAGTGGGCCCAGGTCGCCAGCAAGTGGTCCAGCTTCTCCAGCTGGTAGTGGTCCTCAAAGCCCTCAGTCACCCGGCAGTGGCCCTGCGTCCCCAGCTGGCAGTGGCCCTGCATCCCCAGCAGGAAGTGGGCCACTGTCACCGGGCAGTGGCCCTGCATCCCCAGCAGGAAGTGGGCCAGTGTCACCCGCAGGAAGTGGGCCAGGGTCGCCTGCAGGAAGTGGGCCAGGGTTGCTGGCAGGAAGAGGGCTGCAGTCCCCTGCATCACCAATGTTCAGTGCACCCAACTCCCCAATGGGATCCCCAATGGCTCCAGGTCTTGAGTCATTCCTACAAGAAGAAACACAACCCAGATCTGATCGGAGTCGCTCCCCATCTCCCGGAAGGAGCCGGGCACCGGGAGGGTCGCCATCTTACAGCCCTATGGGCAGTCCAAGGAGCGCCTCTCAGTCTCCACCAGGTACTGTAATGGCTGAACAAACCAATGTGCATTGTGGATGCAAAGAATGGTTGCCCTTATTGAAGACTTTCTTAATTATTAAGCCAGATTACAATAGGATAAATAAGAAACAAGGCTTGTCACAGGATACATATTCAGATATACTAAATTTGATATTCATGTCAGTTACTTTTCATGCTACTTTATTTTTGAATATATTTCCATTTAACTGTTAGTCACATTTTCACCTGGAAAGCATAATTTTGAAATGGGTGAATTGTTTGTGTGTCAAGGATGAAGATACCAATCCTTTAAGGAGGTAGGGTCACCAGTGCACATGTTTGGACATGGTGGAGCTTGTTTGTGCTGTAAAACAAGTCATAAAATTCTTCCTTGCATCCACAGGCAGATTGTACTTGACAGCCATAAGTATTATCCCAATAGAGAACTTTGTGTCATGGTCTTGCAGTTGATGGTCATGCAGACTCTTCACGAAAACATTCAGAGGGTTGTTCATTGAATGACTGAATGATAAATAGATTTCTTGTAAATGAAGGGGCGGTCGGGTAGCCTAGTGGTAAAAGTGTTCGCTCGTCACGCCGAAGATCTGGGTTCGATTCCAGACATGGGTTCAATGTGTGGAGCCCATTTCTGGTGTCCCCCAGCCATGATGTTTCTTGAATATTGCCAAAAGTGGCGTAAAACCATACTCACTCAGTCACTCATCAATCAATCAATCAAAATCAATTTTAAACTATGTTACAAATGTGGGGAACCTTGTAAGTTTATATATATTAAACTCATGTTAGTACATTACTCTTGACTGTTAAGTTCTCTACTGGGATTGTACCGGAACAGTAGCTGTAGTGCATGTAGTGTCTAGATCATCATGCTTCACAATGGCTGTCAGCAATGTCTCATTACATCTCATGCTCAGCAAATTGGGGCGGTCGGGTAGCCTAGTGGTTAAAGCGTTCTTTTCCCAACATGGGTACAATGTGTGAAGCCCATTTGTGGTGTCCCCCTCCATGATATTGCTGGAATATTGCTAAAAGCAGCGTAAAACCTCACTCACTCACTCACGTACTCAGCAAATCTGTGCCAACGTTTGTTTCGAGGGATATTATTCCGACATATTTTGATATAGGTGATGATTAGCTTCTGAATGAATTTAATGAACTTTGGACAGGTGAGATTTTATAACTCAGTTCAGGCTTCACTCTAGGAATTTTCTGACGCGGGCCCCTTATCATGTTTCTGTGAATATTTCAATATTCCAGAGGTTCGCCCATACAGCAGAATGTTAAAATGCCCCATTGTAGTTGAACATGTGGGCCTCTTTTCAAATTTGGGCGCTAAAAGCACGAAGCCCCACCCTAGAATTATCCCTGTCAGTTAAATTGGTTCAACACAGCCTAACCATTGTTCAAATTAGAAGTGAATTGTTATGTGCACCATGTTCACTAGTTTGCAAAATATATCTGCTGGGCACAGAGTTGCCATCTACTCAATGGTGAAGGTGGTAGTCCACAAGAAAATGTCCTTCCTGAAATTTACTCGTCTCCAGAGGACTCATGTTAATTGTAAACCCTGATAACTGACATCCATCCTTAAACAATGAACCGTGTTCCCTTGTCGTGCTGAAGACCCAGCTTTGATTCTCTGTACTGTATGAATCCCTGTCTTGGTCTCCCAAACATCATCTTTCTGGCATACTGGTAAAAGTAGTGTAACACTAGACAAAGTCCTAATCTACCCTTGAGGCCGCTACTCCAAACTTGGTCTGTAACTTTCTGCAATTCGCAGAATTTACTTTACATTGTACCCAACTCTGGGTCAGACAAGCATTGCTGGAGGACCTCAAGCAACTTTGCAGTCACCAACAATGGCAACATCGTAAGCGCATGCCATTATTGACAGTCCACTGAGAAGCATGGTATTGTGACTATTGTATGTACGATGTAGTGCAATCATACTGATGACGCTGATGCTGATACATGTAACTGAAAGATTAAGATAACAGAAAAATAATCAGTGTGTTCCACAATTAATAATAGAATCTTTTTCCCAGTGTGCTCGAGTTTGCTTCTTTGCTAATTGAATCTAGGGACAATGATGTAATGTTTGACATTAGGGCAGTCCCCACTGTATTCCGCTGCCAACAAATTTTTCACATTTTTTGTAAATTCTAAACAAATTTTAAAATAATTCTTCGCACAAGTCTACAAACTTTTAAGCTTAGTTTTCGTGAAATCCTGCAAAAGTTCTGCACAAAATGTGATTTTCTGCAAGATAGGTACATTTCTGCACAGAATGGGCATTTCTGTGAAATATTCTGCAAATTGCATAATAGAGCAGAGACTGTTAGGGTTATAACAAAGAACCCTGTATGTCAAACTTAATTTATGTTATGTGTCTGTTGTCTATTCAAACAAGACAGACAAGCAAAACTAAAATGTTTCAGTACATGTATTTTATAGGCCATATCTCATGTGAGAATTACAGAAAATAGAAAAATCACTGATAACAAGGCATCTTTAGGAAGCTTAGCCTTGTATGAACTTGAGCTTGTCTCAAAAGGTGAGAGGTATTGCAGTGTATAAGCATGCTAAGCATTGACTAACAAGCATTTCTGGTAACAGGTAGTCCCAGAGGCTCCCCACCTAGCCCAGGCCCAGGCTCAGACAAGGAGAATGATGGCGCCAGCGACCTGGGAAGTGGTGATGAAAGACGACCAAAGTAAGTGGCATTGTCAATACAATATGGCTTCATATAAGCTATGTTCATCCGTCACCCATGATAACATACTTCTAACAAGTAGGGTAGCAGTGATATGTGTCTGTTAGAGTCAGGGTTTAACAGTGTATACGTCACAGAAGTCATACGGGCAACAATGCAGTTTAACAGGCACTGTTTACAATAGCGCTTATTGGCTCAGGCTGCTGACCATGGCTCTCACTTCACCAGATCTCTCATGCCTCTTCAATCCTATGGTTAGTTGTGTTAGGGTTAGGGCAGGTACTCCCAACTCTATCCTTAGCCCTTGGATCAAGCACCCCTTTATGATCATAAGGGTTAGGTACCATTTTCCGATCAACAGCTCTTCACAACCCTTAGGGTTAGGCACCCTTTATGATCCTTAGGGTCAGTTGTGGTGTAGGGTATGGGTTAGCTGTCTCTTTTAACGAATTAATCAAATCTAAAGGGAGGAAACTCTGTTCACTTGTATCAAGTTTCAAGTTTGGCGGAGAAAATGGCTGCTGCATACACCTAAAGGTAAACAGTCAGTTGCTGATAATTTGGTAAATGAGCACTAATTATTTGTGATAGCGCCTATGGTCCCGTGGTAGGGCGTTGGCCAATAAGATTAATTCATTAGCCTAGCCTAGCCTAGCCTAGCTTCAAGTTGGCAATGTGAGTTCGATCCTCCACACAGCGCTTATTGAAATCTGAAAAAGTGTGTGCAGTAAAGTGCACTATTCCCATAATGCACTGTAATCGGAACGCTCATCTCCAGAACCAGGACGTGCCTTGATATGTTGGTTAGATTTGTTTGTTTGTTGTTTAACACCGCACTCAGCAATATTCAAGCCATATGTAATTAATCAAGTCTGGACCAGACATGCTCATGATGTCAATCACTGGATTGTCTGGTCCAGACTTGATTATTTACAGACCATCGTCATATAACTGGAAATATTGCTGAGTACAGTGTTAAACAACAAAGAAAGAAAACATCATAGTGGGAGGTCATTGGGAATTTTATATTTAATAAACCCGGAAGTGTCTCTGCGAATGCCTAGAAATATCCCTGGAGAGTGGAGATGTACATTCTTTGAAACCTAGTTATTCTAGGCCCTGTCAGTCGGGACACTCTTCCTTCCCTGAGTTTTGGGGTATGCATATATAACCCCAAAGAATTGAAGGGACATTTATTTTGAAACATAATTTGTTAACCCGGAAATGTGATTATCCAGAAGATTTCACTGGAACTGGTACAATTCAGATTAACAGGGTTTCACTGTACCCAACTGTGTGAGAAGACATTGCTTTCCATGGTTTAAGGGCTGATGAGCAAGTATTGTGGTGTCAAGCATGAATATACCACTGTATGCTGATATTCTGTGTTCCAGGCCTCGGAGAATCATTTCCGATGATGAAAGTGACCGGGAACCCGAGCCAGAAGAAAGGAAGAAAGGTGAGAACTCCAGATGACTTTTTGAGCAATTGAGTTTCTACTCTAGGGTTTCTATTTTAATTGGGTTACTTTTTCATTGGGTAACTAATATCTTTTCACTCATCTATTCATCACTCGATTGGGTTTTTCCCTAAATTAGTGAACATTTTAAGATTTGAAAAAAATGAAATAATCTTTAGATGTATTTAACTGTTCTAAATATATAGGCTTGACACGGAAGGTAAATTAGCTCGTAATTTTGTTTAGGAAATTAGCTCCTTTGTAGCATGCTGAAAAAGCTTCATTGGGTATTTACGGGTATGCAATATAATTGAAAGTAATTGGGTTTTGAATATTTTATGGGGGTATTTTACGCAAATACGCTGCTTATCTGTAGCTCTGAAGGTGAGTGTAATCAGGGTGTATAGATTCCTCCTTCATATCTTGAACTATGTTCCCGCCCAATTGAGACCGCCTCCGTGGTCTAGTGGTAGAGCGTCCGCCCGGAGAGCGGAAGGTCCGGGGTTCAATCCCCGGCCGCGTCATACCAAAAGACGTTAAAAGATGGTACTTGTTGTTACCCTGTCTGGCGCTCGGCATTAAGGGGCTAAACCAAGGACTGGTCGGCTCGGAGTCAGTATACTGTGTCTGAGTGGGGTATTCATGTTAAACTGCGGCATGGTATCTCAGTGAGCTAGCACTATAAATCGGCATCAGTCCAGACTAGTACAAGTAGCCACACACACACACACACACGTGCATGCACGTTGCTATATAAGTGCAATAATCTTGGACGCGACGTTAAACCCAATTTCACCTGACCTCACCTCACCCTCCCAATTGATAAGAAATCAATGGTTGTCGGGAGAATCTGACTCCAATGGGGCTCAGAGTCATGTGTCATGATCCCTGATGATAGGCAACGTAATTATTGACTTACTTTGATGACACGATAGTATGGATGATCAGCTTGTCTAGTACAGTTGTAGCAACAATTTGGTGTAGTACAACACCTTCATAGGTAGTTGATTAACCATACGGTCTTCAAAATATCACTTACTGTAAATACTTGCTTAAACATCAGTATCTGATCCAGGTAGAGTGGTCATGGGAAGATATTTAAAATGAACAGCAGTTCACAATAACACTAAACATCACTTCGGTCAGGCCCACAAATATATCAGATATATTAGCCTATTGCATGGGTATAAGGTGGATGCCATTGGTCATGTCCAACTAGTCCACAGTTCATTTTGTAGAGATGGTAAACGTGGTTGTGGGTTTAATCTGTCCTCGGACAAATGGAGCAGTGGCCGTGTCTATCCATGTACCAAGCTCATTCCCAGCGTATGACGCCTTTATACTCTCGGTAACATCGCTGCCACCAGTGTGGGCGTGGCCATTACAAAAATCTTGAAATTTGGCCTCTTACGCCAAATGTAGTCACGTTCATACTTTTGTTTATGTGTTTGGGAATACCATAATTGTTCGTTTTGAAAAGGTTTACAACTGACCATGTTTTCCAGATGAATTTACTTTGTTGTTTGTATAATCAGATTGGTTCGAGATTGCAGAATAATGGAAAATCAACCAACTTCTCCCCTACATTCTTACTTTATCAATAACATGATAGTTTTAATGAAATAGAAATTCAAATTGACAAACAAAGAAAGTAATTAAGCAGGGGTAGGTGTTTTGGCGTCACGACAGTCGTCACTTGTTTATAATCATAACGGTCAATCGGCTGTGAGTTCAACTCCAAGCATGGTTGTGGTCATCTATCACAGTGGGGAGTTTTGACTGGTGGCAGCGATGGTATAGAGAGCTCTGCGAACGGGATATCGCTGTTAGGAGCTTGTCCATGTACATGTGTCAATGCTTTCTGTGATTATGTTGCACTGTATCAATTCTGTTGCAGCTAAAGCAAGTGATGATGAAGACAGCGATAAAGAGTAAGTAAACGTTTCCATCTCTTGTCGTCCTGCAACCGAGCATGGCTTCTGACTCCCAACACAGCATGCTCTTCTCCCATCCTTCGGGGGTTTGTGACAAAATAGGTGTCCAGGTAGCTCATGTCTTTTGACAGAGACTACTAAATGGAGATGGTGTTGTTTCAGTGTTCAGACCTCTTCCAGGAACACTTCTAACTAAACCCTGGTGAATCAACTGAAAAAGTTGATAGGCAGGAACACTTCTAACTAAACCCTGGTGAATCAACTGAAAAAGTTGATAGGCAGTAACACTTCTAACTAAACCCTGGTGAATCAACTGAAAAAGTTGATAGGCAGGAACACTTCTAACGAAACCCTGGTGAATCAACTGAAAAAGTTGATAGGCAGGAACACTTCTAACTAAACCCTGGTGAATCAACTGAAAAAGTTGATAGGCAGGAACACGTCTAACTATACCCTGTTGAATCAACTGCAGTACAGTCAAGTCCTGTTAATCTGACATTGTTGGTTGCATATGATTATGTCGGATTAACGAGTATGTCGGATAAACAAAATTAGGCATTATCAACGTTTGTGATCGAAAATCGGACAACTACACAATAGATAAAGATACAAACACGTAAAAAAAAAATATAAATGAAATATTCCTATTGTTATGTTACATTGTTAACGGAATATGTTTTCTAATCTGCAACTTCTAAAGCTCAACACAAAACCACTGTTACTGTATGACTTATTCCAAATAATTTTAAAAGCATAGTCTGGAATGGAAGTCGCAAGTTTGAAACTGGTACCGCAAAGCCTAAGAAAGCTGCTTTCTAAGTGGCTAATGTTGACTTCCTGTTAGTTATTTCATTGGTCGGTCATAGTTTGAAAAAAGTTGTTCTGACGTGACCACCTGTAATTAGTGGTGTAACGATACGGCGATACAGTATTGTATCCCGATGCACAGCCCACGATACGATGCATCAATTTGGAAAGCATGTATCGCGATACATACGATATTTTCATAACAGCAGTTATACCTACCGTATTTTCTTGAGTATATTGAGCGCACTTTTTTCCAAAAAACACAGCTGTGTAGAAGGGGTTGCGCATTATACACGAATTAATGAGTTTTGATGTTTTTCCCCCATGGAAAGACATTACCGTGAGCACGTAACCCCGGAAATACCATGTCAACAAATCCATACTGAAGTTCGCAAATTATTCATGTAATTACACTGTCTGGCTATAAAAAAAGTGTTCTTTGTATATCTGGACTCATGTTTTTAACTTATTTCATTAATTTTATTCAAAATTCCTTTTAATATTGTTATGATTAATTTCGGCGAAATCGTGTGTGAAGCGATCGGAAGATCACACAACTCACCGTTATTAACAGCAACCACGGTCAGATTACCGCTATCGACGCCTTGAAAGGAATTTTAGTTGACAGAGAATGGATACACATATCATAAATGACATACTTTGATTCGTTAAAAGTCAGATTTGTTTTTGTTGGACGATTCTATGTCAACACGTAATTCTCGCGATCACGTGCTCGGGAGCCTTGACGGTGACTGGTCAGACTGGTTCCATGTAAAAAATAATACCCGGCAATAGCGATCAGCTGCTTCGCTTAGGGTTATTATTATTTTAAATATGTTTAGTAAAAGCTGCATCTAAATTAACAATATATTGGAATATATTATTCCTGATCAAAAAATAGTTTTAGATACAACTTTTGCCGATCCTTGCATTAAAATACTGTAAAGTTATATCATTGGGTGTGTCTTGCCCGAATCACCGGTAGATTCCAAGAAAATGTGTGTACATGTACAGCTGATTGCTGTGTCCGGCTTAGTTTACGAGAAAATACACAAGGTAATCTTAATCCCTGGATATAAAACAATGCCTAGCTGAACAAAAAATACAATTTAAACGGTAAATCAACATGTCTGGTGATTTTTTATCTCAAATTTCGAATTTGTACTGACGAAGTTTCTCATCACCCGTTTGTTTGCCGGACTTCGCTGAAGGGGTACGGTGTAATTTTTTCTGCGCATAATATTCATATTTCTTTTTTTCCAAAATATTGAACCCGCTAGAGGGGCGTGCGCATCATACATCGGTGCGCACTATACTCAAGAAAATAGATGAAATACATGGGCGGATACAGCTTTTTTGAAAAGGGGGGGTGCACAATTAAGATCTATTTATTGTTGTCTTTGGTGGTAATTTATACAGAAATATAGATTTATTTCGAAATAAAAAGGGGTGTGTGTTTGGGGGTGGGGGTGTGCGCCCATGAAATACATTTAACAGTTTCAAAGCCAGTTTGTTGTTTCAGTAAAACATACTGTATTGCTGACAATTTGCTATAACAGTAAATAAACACCTTATATCTTCTTCAACTGTACTTGTCACATCTTTTAGATAGCAGAAAGACAGCAACTTGGCTTAGCTTGTACAAGTAAACACTGTATCGTGATACGTATCGTATCGCGACCCCTGTATCGGGATACGTATCGTATCGCGACCCTCCCGTATCGTTACACCTCTACCTGTAATGGGATGTCCTCGGCGATAGCGAGAACTTGTACATGCTGTATCTGACTTTAATGATATTGAGGTAATCTAAGCATGTGATTAATCCTGTTGTCTTTATTTAAAGCATTAATTGTTTATTGTTAAGCAAGTTTATCTCTGCAGCCGTTGTAATATGCAGCCATCAGCCGGCCCGTCTCGTATCAAAACATGGGCTGTGTACTCACGGGCAGATGACCACGGAGTACGCTGATCACTGTGTCGGATTAACAAGACTGATTAATGAGTGATTTCAGTAATTTGTTGCAAATTAGGTGTGTCGGAGTCGGAGTGCGAGACTGTCGGATTAACAGGTTTAAATAGCACTCATTTAATTGGTTCCCATCATTAGTGTCGGATAAAGCCGATTGTCGGATTACCGAGTGTCGGATTAACGAGACTTGACTGTAGTTGATAGGCAGGAACAGCTCTAACTATACCCTGTTGAATCAACTGAAATAGTTGATAGGCAGTACACCCTGCTTGAATCAGTAATGTATGATGATTTGTTCCAGGTCTGTCGCAGATGGGCTCATTGCTGACATTTTTGGCTCAAGTGATGAAGATGAAGAATTTGAGGTTAGCTTGGAATCGTAATTATGGCAAAAAGAAGACTTGACCATTTTTCACTCTTAGGTACTACATGTATTTCTGCATGGGCAGTCGGGTAGCCTAGTGGTTAAAGCGTCTGCTCGTCATGCCGAAGGCCCGGGTTCAATTCACACCTTTGGTACAACCTGCTATTTACAGGGATACATTTCCACCTAATATATCTACCTGCTATTTCAGGGTTTTGGTGAAGCTGATGTAGAAGCCCATGCCAAGAAGAAAGAAAAAAAGAAAACAGGTAACCATTGATTGTCCTGTACAGTGGTGAAAAAGCTCTCCATTACTTCAGTTTAAAGTCTAACTTTGCCTGTAGGTACAATGGAAGTCGCTTGACCTACGAAAAAGTCCTATTAATTCAGATAGTTCATTATTGTAGAAATTGGCTGTAATCCGTGACAGTGGGGTAGCCTAGCGGTTAAAGCATTCGCTCGTCACGCTGAAGACCCAGGCTGGATTCCCCAAATGGGTACAATGTGAGAAGCCTACTTTGTTGTGCCCCCTGTCGTGATATTGCTAAATATTGCTAAAAGCGGTGTTAAACCATACTCACTCGCTAACAGTAATCACTGGGATGGAAGGGTTTCAGGACCGACAGGATCCAGACAAACACGACTCATTGTATATTTGTCTTGCAGCTGCGAAATCTGATGACGAGGATGGTCAGACTGGGGAAGCCGCGGGTCCGACCGGTGCCTTGCCTGAGCTGTCTGATGATGAGAATGAAGATGCTTTACAGAAGGACAAGTAGGTCACCTGGACTGGTTGTCCTGTATCCCACCTTCCTATTGGCTCCACAAATAGCTGTAATGTTACTGTTGTTGCTCAAAGCCGTAATCAGTCACTCTTCCACATTAAACCATGTATTGGTGACGATCTGTCCAAACTTTGATGTTTGTGTACCGTAATTTCGACAAATATATCCAATATTTGAAAATATGCATTGGGGAAAACTATGGTCTATGTGAACATAAGCTACGACTAAACCTAATTTTGTTTATGATTTCTGTTTATATGTATAATTGTAAAAGTATATGAAATTGTGTAACCCTGACTCGGCATGGGGTGGCCCAGTCATCTAAGGAGCTGCAATTCGTTTTGCAGAGTTGCGTCTCTTGGGCATGCAAGAAACCTATGATTCGAATCCTGGTTTTCTCCAATTATGTTTCTAAGTTTGTCAGCATCATACCCGTTCTCGTGGGTTTCACCAAAGTGTTAAATGTCTGAGACATGCATCACCTCAGACATGCATCACTTCAGGCTTTCCTCCCACATGAAGCTAACACGACGTGATATAACTGAATACTGTCCAAAGTGGCTTTATTCATCATTATTCATATTGTTCACACTGTGAATCCCATCCCGGGTGTCTCCTGCCCCAATAGGTTGGCAGTGTTCTGAACAAGGTGAGTAAATCTTCCACATACTAACTAACAGTGTTCTAATTTGAATAATATTATGCCACTGTCTCCATATGACCATTTTTTGATTACTTTTACAGCTTTGTGTCTGACTTTGAATTGATGATGGAGAGGAAGAAGGAGGAAAGACAGAGACAGAGGAGGAAGAGGAAAGATTGTGACATGATCAATGATAATGATGACCTCATCGCTGACATGATTGGCAAGATGAAACTAGCAGCTGAGGTAGGTTCTCAGTCCACTGGACATTATTCCCACTGGCAACAAACTGTTACTTTTAATATTGATTGTTGATTGGTCCCATGGGGATTCCAGGTGCTACTTTATCCCCAGCAACCTATGCTGGTCAGAAGAGGCAACCGAATGTATCAACGTTGTCATGCTTGGTAACTTGGTTGACAGCAAGCTATAGCTCCCTGATGACGTGGATTGTTGCTCACAAATTCGGTAACTGTTTGAACCCTTGAGCATAAGCTGGTTGAGTGTCAGTGTTTCTTCTGACTGACAGGTAACTGTTTGATCCCTTGAATGAAACTGGTTGACTGTCAGTGTTTCTATTGACTGTCAGGTAACTGTTTGATCCCTTGAGGGAAACTGGTTGACTGTGAGTGTTTCTACTGACTGTCAGGTAACTGTTTGATCCCTTGAGTGATCCTGGTTGACTGTCAGTGTTTCTACTGACTGACAGGTAACTGTTTGATCCATTGAGTGATCCTGGTTGACTGTCAGTGTTTCTACTGACTGATAGGTAACTGTTTGATCCCTTGAGTGATCCTGGTTGACTGTCAGTGTTTCTACTGACTGTCAGGTAACTGTTTGATCCCTTGAGTGATCCTGGTTGACTGTCAGTGTTTCTACTGACTGACAGGTAACTGTTTGATCCCTTGAGTGATCCTGGTTGAGTGTCACTGTTTCTACTGACTGACAGGTAACTGTTTGATCCCTTGAGTGATCCTGGTTGACTGTCAGTGTTTCTACTGACTGTCAGGTAACTGTTTGATCCCTTGAGTGATCCTGGTGGAGTGTCAGTGTTTCTACTGACTGTCAGGTAACTGTTTGATCCCTTGAGTGATCCTGGTTGAGTGTCAGTGTCTCTACTGACTGACAGGTAACTGTTTGATCCCTCTAGTGATCCTGGTTGACTGTGAGTGTTTCTACTGACTGACAGGTAACTGTTTGATCCCTTGAGTGATCCTGGTTGAGTGTCACTGTTTCTACTGACTGACAGGTAACTGTTTGATCCCTTGAGTGATCCTGGTTGACTGTCAGTGTTTCTACTGACTGTCAGGTAACTGTTTGATCCCTTGAGTGATCCTGGTTGAGTGTCAGGGGTTCTACTGACTGATAGGTAACTGTTTGATCCCTTGAGTGATCCTGGTTGAGTGTCAGTGGTTCTATGGTAACTGTTTGATCCCTTGAGTGATCCTGGTTGACTGTCAGTGGTTCTATGGTAACTGTTTGATCCCTTGAGTGATCCTGGTTGAGTGTCAGGGGTTCTACTGACTGATAGGTAACTGTTTGATCCCTTGAGTGATCCTGGTTGAGTGTCAGTGGTTCTATGGTAACTGTTTGATCCCTTGAGTGATCCTGGTTGACTGTCAGTGGTTCTATGGTAACTGTTTGATCCCTTGAGTGATCCTGGTTGAGTGTCAGTGTTTCTACTGATTGACAGGTAACTGTTTGATCCCTTGAGTGATCCTGGTTGAGTGTCAGTGGTTCTATGGTAACTGTTTGATCCCTTGAGTGATCCTGGTTGACTGTCAGTGGTTCTATGGTAACTGTTTGATCCCTTGAGTGATCCTGGTTGAGTGTCAGTGTTTCTACTGACTGACAGGTAACTGTTTGATCCCTTGAGTGATCCTGGTTGAGTGTCAGTGTTTCTATGGTAACTGTTTACTTTGTTGACAGGAAGACCGAGAGTTGAACAAGAAGAGACAGGCTGCCACAAAGAAACTGAAGCTGCTTCCATGGGTCATCTCCCAACTCAAGAAGTAAGCAGATTGTAGCGACTAGCTGAGTGATTTCCATGTCATAAAATATATACTGAGAATACAAACTTTATTATGATGTAAACGTGGCAATATGTACTTCTTTTACAACATGTGGTGGTCAGGTAGCCTAGTGGTTAAAGCTTTCGCTCGTCACGCCGAAGCCCCGGTTTGATTCCCGACATGGGTACAATGGTGAAGCCCATTTCTAGTGTCCTCCGCGTGATATTGCTGGAATATTGCTAAAAGCGGCGTAAAACCATACTCACTCACTCACTCTTTTACAACATATTTGATGGGTTTTTTTGCAGAGCTGATCTCCACATAATATTCCTAGACTCTGGGATCCTTAGTGCAATTACAGTAAGTGAATTTATATTACTGGAATATTACTTAAGGATTGTGCACTTAAGCACTTGTGGATATGGAGACAACTTACATGGTATATTCTTAACTTGATATTCCTGGAATATTACTTACTATAATCATGATGACACTGCTCACTTTAGGACTTTTGGAAAGGGGAGACAACTCAACTTACAATCTGAATTCTTAGCTTGATATTGATTTTGTCCAGGCGGAGTAGAATTTCTGTGGACGATTTATGATGTGATGGAGAGGGCTGATTTTGAGAAACTCTGATGCAAATTAGATTATTAATATGTGTAAAGACTAAGATTTTCATTTCAAAAAGGTATTCTCATGAACATTTATGTCAAACAAAGAAATGTCTTGTTTAAAAGATTTTCTTTGTCAATACACCAGAAGAGTGAAGCAGTGTTAAGTCTTTCTACTGTCTTTGTCATATTGGCTTCACACATTAATTTCCTGAAGAAATCTCTTGAAACAATATTCCTATAAAAATATAGAAAGAGATGTGTTGAGGGAAACTTATATGATTTTTTTGTTTTTTATCTACAATATTATAACAAGGAAGTTAATTGGTCTGACATAATGATGTATTTATTCATAGACTGTAGTGATAATTGTTTTTGAGCTATTTAAAGTGATATTTCATTTTGTTGCTTTCAGGAATGGTTGGCGCCTCTTCCAGATAAAAGTTTGCCACATCTTACCATCAGGGAATCTTTACTGAAGATATTATGGGATGTAAGTGACTAGTGTGTCCCACCCTATGGGGATCCAGGCTAGAACAGCTGCTCAGTATCCTGTGCTTGTCATGAGAGGCGACGTAATGGAGTGATCCGACTGACTTTATTGCATATCATTGTACCCTACCTGACTGCTTGGGATGTTGCCCATGTCCTGTCAATCACTGGTTTGTCTGGCCCAGACATTATAATAAAAAAGTCATAATATATTACAGATTTATATATCTTATCTAAGCCGTGAAGAGCTGGGGTAGAATAGGTTTTCAGCAGCCCATGATTGTCGTAAGAGGCGACTAACGGGATCAGGTGGTCAGGCTCGCTGACTTGGTTCATGCATGCCGCAGTTTAACATGAATACCCCACTCAGACACAGTATACTCACTCCAAGCCGACCAGTCCTTGTTTAGCCCCTTAATGCAGAGCGCCAGACAGGGTAACAACAAGTACCGTCTTTTAACATCGTTTGGTATGAGGGGGCACGGGTGGCCCAGTCGTCTAAGGCGCCGTGATTCGCTGTGCAGAGTTGCGTCCCTTGGGCACGCCAGAAACCTATGATTGGTGGTTCGAATCCCGGTTCGCCCCGATTATGTTTCTAGGTTTGTCAGCACCATACCCGTCCTCGTGGGTTTCACCGAAGTGGTAAACGTCTGAGACCTGCATCACTTTCGGGCTTTCCTCCCACATTAAGCTGACACGCCGCAATATAACTGGAATACTGTTAAAAGCAGCGTTAAACCAAACTCACTCACTCACTCACTCGTTTGGTATGACACAGCCGGGGATCGAACCCCGGACCTTTCGCTCTCCGGGCGGACGCACTATCTCTAGACCACGGAGGCGGTCCAAATATATATTATGTGTATTTTTCAGTTTCCGGCCATCAGCTCGGACAGTCTGAAGATGAGTGGAATCGGGAAAGCTGTCATGTATCTGTACAAACACCCTAGGGAGGTGCGCCCAAATAAGGAGAAGGCGGGGAAACTGATCAGTGAGTTGAACACACCCCAGCTTTTAGTTGCGCCAGGACTAAAAGAGTCATCCAGGGCCCAGTTTCATGAAACTTGTAATATTGAAATGTGATGCCACAGGGTCCCAGGTTTATTTCTCAGTGGTCTTGCAACATTCTCTTAGTATAGCTAAGGTTTACTTTCCTCATTGCAAAACACAAGCTGTCTTCTTAAACTGCTACTTAGTATTTTGTGTTGGGGTGGGGGGTACATTTTGGTGATTTTCGAGAGTTTGGTCGAGTTAAGAGTTTGCTTGTCACTAGGTGTTATTCAACTGTCTGGCCCAGACTCGATTATTTATGGGCCACTGTCATATACCGTATTCGACCCATTAAGCGCCCCTCCCCAATAAGCGCCCCCCTTCCCGGTTCCGAAAATTATTTTGTTTTAAGTGAAAATCTTCCGGGAACCGAGGTTTCCGGATATTTGAAGTCTGTATAAGCGGGGCATGACTGTATTCTGTTTATTTTAAAAAATCAATTAAAAAATCACCAGACATGTTGATTTACCGTTTAAATTGTATTTTTTGTTCAGCTAGGCATCATTTTATATCCAGGGATTAAGATTACCTTGTGTATTTTCTCGTAAACTAAGCCGGACACAGCAATCACCTGTACACACGTTTTCTTGGAATCTACGGGTGATTCGGTCAAGACACACCCAATGATATAACTTTACAGGATTTTAATATGACTTTTAACGATTCAAAGTATGGCATTTATGATATATGTATCCATTCTCTGTCAACTTAAGTTCGTTTCAAGGCGTCAATAGCGGTAATCTGACCGTGGTTGCTGTTAATAACGGTGAGTTGTGCGATCTTCCGATCGCTTCACACACGATTTCGCCGAAATTAATTAAAACAATATTAAAAGGAATTTTGAATAAAATTAATGAAATAAGTTACAAACAAAAGTCCAGATAAACAAAGAACACTTTTATAGCCAGACAGTGTAATAACATGAATAATTTGCGAACTTCAGTGTGGATTTGTTGACATGGTATTTCCGGTGTTACGTGCTCACAGTAATGTCTTTCCATGGGGGAAAGACATCAAAACTTATTAATTCGTGCATAATGTGCACCCCTTTCTACACAGCTGTGTTTTTTGGAAAAAAAGTGTGCACTATTCTCAAGAAAATACGGTAAGGCTTACTGATGAATTTACGCCAATTTGACCTTAATTGTCCCCAATAAGCGCCCACCCTTTCTGTCTTAATGGGTCGAATACGGTAGCTAGAATATTGCTGAGTGTGGCACTAAACAACAAACAAACAAAAATCGGTCATCTGTACTTTTCTTTCTAGATGAGTGGTCCCGACCTATTTTCAACCTAACATCAAATTACAAAACTTTGTCCAGAGACGAGAGAGAACAGAGAGATTATGAACAGCTGCCCAAGAGGAGGAAACTCAGGTACACATTACGTTTGGGAATTGTCCTAGTTCTATTCCTGGCATACATGGAGGACTATTATAGGCTTGTTGCTACTGACACTTGATGACAAGCACTTTCGTTATTTTGCCCATTCTAGTTTATATTTTTTTTAATTTATTATTTATTTATTTATTTATTTATTTATTTATTTATTTATTTATTTATTTATTTTTTTTTATTTTTTTATTTTTATTTATTTATTTATTTATTTATTTATTATGAATGAATGAATGAATGAATGAATGAATGAATGAATGAATGAATGAATGAATGAATGAATGAATGAATGAATGAATGAATGAATGAAACAAACAAACACACAAACAAAATGTCTGATTTTGTTGACAGTTAACTTTGTCAATTTTTTTGCTGGAATTGTGAACCTACCTGGTACTGGGAAATCCTAAAAGTTGTCAATGGAACAGTTTGGGACAAGAGGTAGAAATTTCCAGATGAACAATTAATTCTAATTTTAAAGAGGTAGACATATGCCTACCTCAAAGGATATAGATTATAACATGGTTAGTATAGATCTGAGTGTCATCAAATTAGATGTTGTAAGTTTTTAAATTATTTTTTTATTGGGGGTGGGGGCTCTATCATTCTTTCCTGTCTGTAATACTCATCTCCTGATGTAGAGATTGTTGATGTATTGTTGATGCTATTGATAGTTAATCTCTGTTACAGTTTAGAAGGAAGTCAGACTCCGAGGAGAGATATCGACAATGCAATGGAAGGAGAAAAGAAGTAAGTCGTCCTGCAACCTCATCACTGATGGCCAGTGGCCTCAAGTAATGGGTCAAGTCTACTCACACCTTACTAGGAGCTCATTATGGCCCACACAATGTTGTGGCTGTTCCATCCACCCTACCTCAGTGATGCTAGTCCATCTCCCCACTGCCACACACTTAATTCCTTGCGTTTCAGGTCACAGTTTATTTAATTGTTTGGTCTGCTGTTCCTAAGCCCTGGATAAAATTACAGAAATATTTTGGTTTTAACAAACAGATCTTTGAATGTCTTTGTGTTAATAGGGGGCACAGGTGGCCCAGTCGTCTAAGGCACCGCGATTCACTGTGCAGAGTTGCGACCTTTGGGCACGCCAGAAACCTATGATTGTGGGTTCAAATCCCGGTTCGCCCCGATTATGTTTCTAGGTTTGTCAGCACCATACCCGTGCTTGTGGGTTTCACTGAAGTGGCAAACGTCTGAGACCTGCATCACTTCGGGCTTTCCTCCCACATTAAGCTGACACGCCGTGATATAACTGTTAAAAGCAGCGTTAAACCAAACTCACTCACTCACTCACTTTGTGTTAATAGTCATGTTTTGAACAGCCTGGCGTTGCTGCTCATGCATTCAGTCACTTGTTTCCATGCCCCTGACACAATTATTCACAGGTTGCTGTGATACAGCTTGTATATTGACTGCTGCTTCAAGCAACTCAACTCGTGCTATATGCCATGAGTTTGTCTGGGTATAATAAAGCCCCTCAGTGCAGTTGACTAATGTATGTAGTATATCCCTAAAACTCAAACATTGCCTGATTATTAGAGCTGAGTATCGCCTGGTATATGCAATACGATTTGATCACGAAATGGATTGACTGGTATCGTGATACACCACATCAAATAGTAAGGAATGATGAAGTCACTGAAATACAGCTCTTAAACCCCTTACTTTATCCATTTATTTATTGTTATTTCAAAAACAAAGAAGACCATAAGAACAAAACAGTTTTAAATGAAGGAATGGTTATTGAATGTAACAGTTACCTGGTGCGTCCTCAGCTGCCCCGTCCTTATTTTCTGCCATGCTTGCAGGTGGCGCTATGCTACTTCTGCCATTATGGGATGTAACTATTAGTTCCTGTTCTATTTATAGCATATCGCAATCTCACAAACTAACAATTCAAGTATCATATGTACCTAGTATCGATGGTATCGGTGATTCGTACCAGCCCTACTGATGATTATTTCTGACACGAGTGTTTGGATGACTTTTCAGAGCCTTGCGTCCGGGTGATCCGGGGTGGGTGTATCGAGCCAGAGTCCCTACCCCCTCCAACAGAGACTATGTTGTACGACCAAAGACAGAGATAGACTACACAGCAAAGAAGGTTTGTTTCTCACTTTATCTCTTAGGATGTTTCAGTTCCACATGAAAATAGAATTAAACATTGAATTCAACAAGCTTGACAAACTGTTGAAGGTATTTCAACCATTGGTTGTGAAACTATTGAAGCCGTATGATTAGTACCTTCACATACTGGCGTTGAAAACAACTCACTCACACCCAACTTCACATACCAGCGTTAAACCCACCTCACTCACACCCACCTTCACATAGCAGCGATTAATCCACCTCACTCACTCACACCCACCTTTAGCAGCGTTAAACCCACTTCACTCACTCACACCCACCTTCACATACCGGCATTAAACCCAACTCACTCACACCCTCCTTCACATACCGGCATTAAACCCAACTCACTCACTCACTCACACCCACCTTCACATAGCTGCGATTAACCCACCTCACTCACTCACACCCACCTTTAGCAGCGTTAAACCCACTTCACTCACTCACTCATACCCACCTTCACATACTGGCTTTAAACCCACCTCACTCACATACATGAAGTAGACTCCCTTTGCAATATTTGATATGATGTTTTGTTGTCCCCCGCCGCGCGAAAGCGCGAAGCCGGGGATATAGTATTCACGACCGTCCCTACGTACGTCCATACGTCCCACCTGTTTGTTGCCACGATATCTCAAGAACTAAACACTGGATTGTCTTCATATTTGGAACTATGGTGTATATACAGACCCTGCAGACATCAGTCGGTTTTGGTGACCTTGACCTCATTTTCAAGGTCACAGCAGGCAAATCTGCTTTTTGAGTTGGAAAAAGGTGTTGCCGCGATATCTCAAGAACTAAACACTGGATTGTCTTCATATTTGGAACTATGGTGTATATACAGACTCTGCAGACACCAGTCGGTTTTGGTGACCTTGACCCCATTTTCAAGGTCACAGCAGGCAAATCTGCTTTTGGAGTTAGAAAACGGTGTTGCCACAATATCTCAAGAACTAATCGCTGGATTGTCTTCATATTTGGTACTATGGTGTATATACAGGCGGGGGACATTTCGTCACTTTGTGACAAATACTTGTTGAAGCTATTTCTGGAACATAGGCATTTGTTTGTTTGTTTGTTTGTTGTTTTGCCTTGAATTATGGGAAGAGGGCCTTGGAATGCCTTGAATTTTGTGACTGAAATTCTATTGAACCCTCAATTCATTCTTGTCCTGGACGTGAGTAAAATAATCGTTGGGTGTTTGAAATGTGTGACTGGTTGTCCTTGTATCTTGAGGTCTGATTTATACAATATGTCAACGACCACTTGACTATTGGGTTATCATATTGCCATACTTAAAAAAATGTAATTGCAATACTACAACACCAACAAGCATCTAACTTCTTTGAAAGCCGACGTCATTGTTTGCTATGACGTAGTACCATTCCACACCCAAGGTGCTGTATATTGTAGGTGAAGGTGGTGATAGCGTCTCATAAGTCAAATGCATAGTTTGCCATATGCTCTGAATTGATTTGTAAAATATTTGTTTTACAGAGTACAGGAAAGAAGGATCCAAGTCGGTATGATAAACATGCACGAGCATTTGCAGATAAAAGGAAGAACAGTAAGGCCCAGAGAGCTATCACCATCAGCATTGAAGGCAGGAACATGGCCCTCTGAGTCCTGTAGTGCATGCTGGGAGTGCTGCTTGACAACCAATCACCATCAACATTGAAGGCAGGAACATGGCCCTCAGTCTTCTAGTGCATGCTGGGAATGCTGCTTGTCTACCAATCAGTGATTGAGTTGATGACACTTAGCCATACAGATCTGCAGGCTGTTCACCGATATAGAGATGTAATGAAAATGATATTTTCTGAGGATTACTTTTGATCTGCCAAAAAATCCATTAAATGCAACAAGTGAATGAATGGTTCATACTAATTTGTCAGAAAAGTATTTGTCAACCATTCCTCTGTGTATGATAGAGTTAAATGGTTGAAGTGGACTTGAGTAGGTCACAGAAAATGTCTTGTTTTTCAAAAGGGATGTATGATCAATATGAAAGTGTGTCAATATTTGTGCAAGATTCTTTGATGTCATCAAACAACTCACACTCTTTAAGGAGCGGTAGTTTAACATGTACCGATATGTGTGAGCAATGTCCATTTTGCAATGTATTACAAATATGCCTTCAAGAATAATATTACAGTAGAACACGGATATAACGAACTACAAGGGACCAGAGAAATCAGTTCGTTAATCTGTTGTTCGCTATACACGTTTTCGCTCGGAAATGTCCGCCATCTTGGATAAGACAAAACACAGATTTTCCAATGACAGACATAATATTTTTCAGACAATATTACCTCTACAGGTAAGATTAACACAATGCAAATTTGACAGGTTGATCCGTCAACGCTGATTGTATTGATTCGCCGCCATTGTGTTGATTCGCCGCTGATCGTGTACAGCCACTTGTCAGTGACACTTGACACTGAGTGAGATTTCTCAGTTCGCTATACACGTCACTAATTAGTGAAAGATGGGCTTGTCGTCGATCAGATATCAGTTCGCTGTATCCGTTAGTTTGCTGTAGAGAGTTTGTTATATACATATAGATCAGTCGGGGATTTTTTAACAGTTTGTTGTATCAGTTTGTTCGCTATATCCGGGTTCGTTATATCCGGGTTCTACTGTACTTACAAGTAAGCTTCTTGTTAATGGAATTGGTGAATTTCCAAGTGAAACATTAATTGTACATTTCAATACTGTTTCATAAAATCAAATCATCGTTGATACTTATTTATCTCTCTGTTCTGTTCGTATTGATAATATTATGCATTAGAGTGCTGACTAAAAACAGACGAGAAATCAGCCCCCAGAATAATTCATGAGAGCCTGGTGTCTTTTTCGTTTGTAAAATTCTTTTCTTGCAATCTTGTCAAAATCAGATCTTAGTTCTTGCTACTGCTTAACAAAGATCTGAGGAGATCCCATTACGGTTCCCGTCAGAATGACCCTTCATCCAACCAATCAGAGCATCGTTTACCAGAACGGGAGGGTATCGGTCCGAATGTGTTTTCTCGGCATGCAAACTTAAAAAGGTAAATGCAGGGTGTTCAGAATGACGGTCACGGGCAGTTCAACTGATTCCATATTCTAGATATGGTCTATGTTTCACTTCAATGGGATGAACATTTGAAAAGAAATAGAATGTCCATGGTCCATTGGGAGTACTGTCATTCAATTTAGACCATATATTAGACATTCCAGAATGTTTTTTGTTCTGTTTTAACATTTTCTTAAGGTAGTCTCTTTTCCAGTATTGTCAACATTTTGAAACTAAATTCGAGAAAGCTTCTTTCAGATTGGCTGATGTTGAGCTTCCTGTTTCATTGGTCGTTCAAAGTTTGTGTAAGGTCGTTCTGATGTGACCTGTAATATAATGTCCTCAGATCTTTGGTGTAATGGAAGCAAGCACTAAAATCTGATTTTAATGAGACTGGTTATCTTGAAAATAGTCAGTTCTCAAAGTAAGATAAGACTTTTTTTAGATTTTCCCCAACCAAGAACTTTCCTATGGCAACAAACATGTACGTGTGACTGTGCACAACTCTTACAGTCACCAAATATATGCAGGGATGAGAATGAATATATTTCTTTTCAGCTGAAACTTCTTTGCAATGGAGTGTGGTCCATAATTTGGTGTTTTTTTAAAGGGGGAAGCCATCAGATTTTATCAAATTTGTGGTCACTAAAATTTGCGGAAATTTGCAGATCAGCAGAAGATTCTCACCCCTCTATAGGGAGGTCAACCCAAATTTGGGTTATCAGAACACTATTCTTGTTCATGACCTTACACTACTTCAGTTGGGGATGGGTGAACCAGGGTCTTTAAGGCCCCACGGTTTGCTGAATGTTTCCTCGGCCATATCAGGGTGTGCTGGTTGTGGGTCAGTGTCTTGGGTTCACCACAACAATGATCATTGGTCAGTTGGTACCATGTTACACGTGTCATGTGTATGTCATTTCGACTCATAAAGCTGATGGGTGGTCGGTAGCCTAGTGGTTAAAACGTTCACTATACACGAGGGCGGTCGGGTAGCCTAGTGGTTAAAGCGTTTGCTCGTCACGCCGAAGACCCGGGTTCGATTCCCAACATGGGTACAATGTGTGAAGCCCATTTCTGGTGTCCCCCGCCGTGATATTGCTGGAATATTGCTAAAAGCGGCGTAAAACCAAACTCACTCACTCACTCACTGACTCTGCACGCCGAAGACCCAGGTTCAATTCCTGACATGGGTACAATGTGAGAAGCTCATTTCTGGTGTTCCCCGCCGTGATATTGCTGGAATATTGCTAAAAGTGGCGTAAAATCATACTCACTCACTCATAAAGCTGACCAGTGGGGACATAACTGAAATACTGTTCAAAGCAGCTTTGTACCAAACTCTCGTTTCCAGTACAGATGTTCAGTATTGGAGACCCATGTAACACAGGGATCCAAAGTACCTCATTTACATACATGTACCATATTTTGGTTGGTTTTTTATTTTGTCAGACATTCTACAAATATTAATACACATACACTCGAGACTAGAGAAGGATGTTTGATGGTGAAAATAAGTCTAATATTTTATTTGAATAACTTTGGATTCCTGTGCATATACATCTGCATATATGCACGAGAGAGGAATGTTTGACACAAACAAGATGTTCTCTTCCCTTTACCACTATTTCCCATTGGGGACGGTCGGATAGCCTAGTGGTTAAAGCGTTCGCCCATCACGCCGAAGCCCCGGGTTCGCCCCGGGTTCGCCCCGTGATATTGCTGGAATATTTTGCTAAAAGCAGTGTAAAACCATACTCACTCACTATTTCCCCCATTTGATTACTGCTGAAGTATACACACTTCACAATTCAATGACAGCTACTGGCTGCACACCACACCTATGCTTCTGGGTATGTGGGCAATATCTAACATTGTACAGCTTCCCAGTGTCATTGATTCGCCAACGTGACAAGACAGTACTATGTAGGCATTCATTCATTCATATCTTTGGCTTGTTTTGTATTCAGTCCTTTTCACATGCAAACATACATTCCACATGATATGTGAGTCTTAGGCCGGTATCGCTAAAACATCATCCATGATGGACCGGTTCATCATCCCCATCTTCACGAGGCAAGGGAGTTAACTGGCTGTAAAAGTCCTCCATCCTTGCTGAATTAGGCTGGGATGTCGGGTAGCACCACCAGTAGCTATTATGAGTTATGTCCCTTATATGTCCCGCCTATTGACCAATCAGATTCCACCTCTCATATCACTTGCATCAGCTTCAAACAAAATGGTGGTACCAAGTCAAGATGATCTGAGCAATATTCAAAATCTATATTGTGATAAGACAGGTCTTACTTTGTGAAGTGAAGCACCATCTTATCACAATACAGATTTTGAATACTGATCATCCTTCTCTAGTCTCAAGTGTATTTGTATCAATATTTGTAGATGAATGTTTGACAAAATCTCTTTTATGATAAGACGGGTCTTGCTTCGCGAGGTGAAGCAAATCCTGTAACCACATTGCTAAAAACATGAAAAGATTTTGAAAATATCTGTTGACGCCGAGTTCATATGCTTTGCAAATCCTGCAACCAACCGAAATCTACAGTGCAGTTTAGGAACCGGATGTTGATTTTGGTACTCAATTTTGATTGGACTGTGTATAGACTCGTTTGTCAAGCCAAAATATAACTCCATAATTCCAGCCTAATTCAGGAAGGGTGGAAACAGGACTTTTATAGTCAGTGTAATGCATCTTCCCGAGACGAGGGAGTTATCGCGTGGAGGCGCATTTTCTTCCTCCTTATTTTTGACTTGTCAAACTGGAAGTAGTAACAATGGGAAATAGTCCTAATTTGTGTAAACAAAACACCATAAAACTCTAAAGTACAAGTTTGATCTTCTAATAAGTTTTGGTTTCTGCGCTCCATGCATAGAAGGTTAAGGACATGATTTGACATGAAGACGATGTGTGGAAGAAGTAGCATGTGTCTGTTCCTGGTCATGTATGGTGTCATGCATCATTCTGAATCATCCATCAACTCATTGTGTACATACGTCAGACATACACCTGTAAATAGCTTTACAACTAAAAAAAAAAGAAATAAAATTTTGAAATCAGTCTTTATTGTTGTTTTTCAATTTAACAATTGGTAACATTTGTATACACATGGAAATTAGTTAAGCAACACCCGTATAGTCTCAGACCAGGCAACTTTAATCAACTAGTGCATGAAATGTGTAAAAGATTTCCATACCAAATAAATTATTTAGTAAAAAGAAAGGGTTGAGGAGGAACATAGCCAAGATTACCAAGAAATAATGTGGCTTTTTTTGGTTATGTTACAGATTTGGAAAATGACTTAATTTCATCCAAAAAAATTACGAATGTCACTTTTGTTGCAAAGACTTAACTGTCAGTGAGATGCACACTTCTGGTTCACGGAATTGAAGAACAATGTCCTGCAAGTCCAAATATTGACTTCCATCAGTATCTTATGTAACCTCCCTGAACCCGAGCAACTGCTTCAAGACGCCTCCTCATTCTTTGGATCAATCTCTGGATTTGATTCTGAGGAATTCTGTCCCATTCTGTCCCATTTTAGGCCGTTGTGTTCGACAAAGAGACCCACCTCTCCATACGCTCAATGAATTGACTGCCGCTTTGCAGGAGCAAAGGAAACATTTGGTCCCAACTGATCAAGAAACAGTGAGATATTGTAAAGGTATTGTGACTCTTTCTTTCATCCATTAATGAGACCCGGCCGCGTCATACCAAAAGACGTTAAAAGATGGTACTTGTTGTTACCCTGTCTGGCGATGGCATTAAGGGGCTAAAACAAGGACTGGTCGGCTCGGAGTCAGTATACTGTGTCTGAGTGGGGTAATCATGTTAAACTGCGGCATGGTATCTCAGTGGGCTAGCACTTTAAATCGGCATCAGTCCGGACTAGTACAAGTAGCCACACGTACATGCACGTCGCTATATAAGTGCAATAATCTTGGACGCGACGTTAAACCCCATTTCACCTCACCACCATTAATGAGACCACCTCCGAAGTCTGGTGGATAGTGCGTCTGCCCGGACAGCGGAAGGTCGTGTTACTTGTTACCCTGCCTGGCCCTTAGCAACAATTGGATAAAACAAAGACCAGTTTGGCTCGGAGTCATATAATGTGGGTGGGCTATCCATATTAAACTGTGGCAAGGTACTTCAGTGAGCTCACGTACAGACAAGTTGATCTGAACATCTATCTCAAGTTCATGTGATAAAATGAATTAATATCAAGTTTGCTTGCTTCTATTGTTTTCATGATAACACTGAAGAACACACGTTATTAGAGGACCACAATGTGTTTGGTCTGAACTTCTTGACGTGCACACCGAAACAAACGCATGTTTTTAGAATAACTTGGAAGAGTTGTGCATTTGAATAAATGTGGAATCGGCCTGTAATGTATTTGGTCAGTGTTTTTGGCTTGTTAAGGAATATTAGATAACCCAAGGTACCAGGACTGCACGTTATTAAGCCCTGGGCTCAATCACGGATTTGGACTATTTTTAGTTGAATAACATTTTATCCAAATTTAAGCCCAGGGAGAATGAATATCCCAAATGTAAGGAAACAACACTCACGAGAGCAACACGTTAACACAAGTCATGATTTTCCTTTATAACTAGTAAATTATGAGTCAAGAACACGTTCAAAATTGAAATGACTGCTTTCAAAAAAGTTACAATAAACATGTATCACAGTTGTGGGTGTTTGTCATATGCATTTAAAATGTCACACTGAGTATCCGGAAAATTTGTTTGTTTGTTTGTTGTTTAACGCTTCGCTCAGCATTATTACAGCTATATGAAGGCTGTCTGTAAATAATTGAGTCTGGACCAGACAATCCAGTGATTGACATCATGAGCATCTATCCACGCAGTTGGGATACCATGACATGCATCATCCAAGCCAGTGAGTCTGACCACCCGATTCCCGTTAGTCGACTCTTACGACAAGCATAGTCACCTCTTACAACAAGCACAGTCACCTCTTACAACAAGCACAGTCGTCTCTTACAACAAGCACAGTCGCCTCTTACAACAAGCACAGTCGTCTCTTACAACACCTGGCATAAGGGTCCAATGTGTAAATGTGGAAACCTCTAAACAACACTTTTAGTACAACATTTGTGCAAATTGGCTATATGGAAGCATGCTACAAAACTTGTTGAAGAATATCCGGTATGGGAGATCAATCAACTTTAATCTAATTTCAGCCCATGGACTTCAAAGTTTTTTACTTTTCCATTTGTAAGCCCATGGGCAATAACGTGCGGGCGTAAAAACGTGCAGTCCTGGTAGGTGCTACAGTTTGGTGAAACACGAATAATAAGGGTCAAGTCGTGCCGACGTTGCCCATGCTATCAACCACTGCCATACTTTAACACAGACTTACGACAGTCGTTGCTGTCAACCACTGCCATACCTTAACATAGACTTACAACAGTCGTTGCTGTCAATCACTGCCATACCTTAACACAGACTTACGACAGTCGTTGCTGTCAACCACTGCCATACCTTAACATAGACTTACAACAGTCGTTGCTGTCAACCACTGCCATACTTTAACACAGACTTACAACAGTCGTTGCTGTCAACCTTTAACACAGACTTACGACAGTCGTTGCTGTCAACCACTGCCATACCTTAACACAGACTTACGACAGTCGTTGCTGTCAACGACTGCCATACTTTAACACAGACTTACGACAGTCGTTGCTGTCAACCACTGCCATACTTTAACACAGACTTACGACAGTCGTTGCTGTCAACGACTGCCATACTTTAACACAGACTTACGACAGTCGTTGCTGTCAACCACTGCCATACTTTAACACAGACTTACGACAGTCGTTGCTGTCAACCACTGCCATACTTTAACACAGACTTACGACAGTCGTTGCTGTCAACCACTGCCATACTTTAACACAGACTTACGACAGTCGTTGCTGTCAACCACTGCCATACTTTAACACAGACTTACGACAGTCGTTGCTGTCAACCACTGCCATACTTTAACACAGACTTACGACAGTCGTTGCTGTCAACCACTGCCATACTTTAACACAGACTTACGACAGTCGTTGCTGTCAACCACTGCCATACTTTAACACAGACTTACGACAGTCGTTGCTGTCAACCACTGCCATACCTTAACACAGACTTACGACAGTCGTTGCTGTCAACCACTGCCATACTTTAACACAGACTTACGACAGTCGTTGCTGTCAACCACTGCCATACTTTAACACAGACTTACGACAGTCGTTGCTGTCAACCACTGCCATACCTTAACATAGACTTACGACAGTCGTTGCTGTCAACCACTGCCATACCTTAACACAGACTTACGACAGTCGTTGCTGTCAACCACTGCCATACTTTAACACAGACTTACGACAGTCGTTGCTGTCAACCACTGCCATACTTTAACACAGACTTACGACAGTCGTTGCTGTCAACCACTGCCATACCTTAACACAGACTTACGACAGTCGTTGCTGTCAACCACTGCCATACTTTAACACAGACTTACGACAGTCGTTGCTGTCAACCACTGCCATACTTTAACACAGACTTACGACAGTCGTTGCTGTCAACCACTGCCATACTTTAACACAGACTTACGACAGTCGTTGCTGTCAACCACTGCCATACTTTAACACAGACTTACGACAGTCGTTGCTGTCAACCACTGCCATACTTTAACACAGACTTACGACAGTCGTTGCTGTCAACCACTGCCATACTTTAACACAGACTTACGACAGTCGTTGCTGTCAACCACTGCCATACTTTAACATAGACTTACGACAGTCGTTGCTGTTAACCACTGCCATACTTTAACACAGACTTACGACAGTCGTTGCTGTCAACCACTGCCATACTTTAACACAGACTTACGACAGTCGTTGCTGTCAACCACTGCCATACTTTAACACAGACTTACGACAGTCGTTGCTGTCAACCACTGCCATACTTTAACACAGACTTACGACAGTCGTTTCTGTTAACCACTGCCATACCTTAACACAGACTTACGACAGTCGTTGCTGTTAACCACTGCCATACCTTAACACAGACTTACGACAGTCGTTGCTGTTAACCACTGCCATACTTTAACACAGACTTACGACAGTCGTTGCTGTCAACCACTGCCATACTTTAACACAGACTTACGACAGTCGTTGCTGTTAACCACTGCCATACTTTTAACACAGACTTACGACAGTCGTTGCTGTTAACCACACCCCTTAACACAGACTTACGACAGTCGTTGCTGTTAACCACTGCCATACTTTAACACAGACTTACGACAGTCGTTGCTGTTAACCACTGCCATACTTTAACACAGACTTACGACAGTCGTTGCTGTTAACCACTGCCATACTTTAACACAGACTTACGACAGTCGTTGCTGTTAACCACTGCCATACTTTAACACAGACTTACGACAGTCGTTGCTGTTAACCACTGCCATACTTTAACACAGACTTACGACAGTCGTTGCTGTTAACCACACCCATACTTTAACACAGACTTACGACAGTCGTTGCTGTTAACCACTGCCATACTTTAACACAGACTTACGACAGTCGTTGCTGTTAACCACTGCCATACTTTAACACAGACTTACGACAGTCGTTGCTGTCAACCACTGCCATACTTTAACACAGACTTACGACAGTCGTTGCTGTTATGATTGTTTGGTGGAACTGCGCCACAAAGTTTACAAACAAAACACAAGACCGTAGTAAAGTTTTTTGCAAGATCCACTGGCAAAACAATGTCATGTGACGTCAGCCTAGCAACAGGGTTGCTGGGGTCACCGAGTGTGGAAAAGCTCCCCTTAGTGATATATCATTTCTAATGTCATTGAATAAGCTCATGGATGATGGGAGTTTTCAGTATTTGTTGGTGGTTCCCGCAGCACGTAAGCACGCGTTCGGCATAAAACACTGTAATATCAGCCTATTGTGTTATTACACAGTGGTATCCTCAATGGGCGATTAATAATACAACTTATACACCTTCTGAGACTTTTTGTTGCTGTGAAGATGAAATATTGCTGATGTGGCGTTGGTTATCGCCTCTATTCATTTGTTCAAGCAGTAACTTCCCTAACCTTTTGTCTGTTGTCAGCTTTAGAGCGGGTTTGTGTGTGATGTCCAAGGCAAAAACATCAGCTCCATTCTTCCAGAGCTTTTCAGCAATCTTGACATGATTTCTCTTACACGCAACATGCAGGGGTGTCTGCAGCTTGTTGTTCAAAGCATTCACATTTGCACCCACCCGGAGGAGAAACTCAACCATGGGTGGCCCTGCAAACTCACAAGCTTGATGAAGACAAGTATCACCGTACTTGTTCTGTAACCCTAAATCCTGTGAAGTTGGTTTTAGTTCTTTTAGAACCTGTAGCCCCCCTGGCCTACAGCAAACTGTGTGGAATGCAGTGTTCTTGGATGAATCCAAGCACTTGGGATCAGCACCCTTCTTAACAAGCAACTTTACCAACTTGGGTTCCTTGCTTATGCATGCCAAATGTATGGGAAAACAGAGGTCTGGATCTGGACCTGGAACTGACACAAGTTTAGGCCAGGCTGTCAACAAAACATCCACAACTTCAGCCCTTCCATTTTCACAAGCTTCATGTACTGCCATTTTCTTTATATGATTCCTCACATTTGCTCGGGCTCCTTGATCGATGAGGAACTTCACAATGTTGAAATGTCCATTTTTGGCGGCAATGGTCAAGGGTGAGTTGCCATAGTGATCATGGAGGTCTACTGGAGAGTGGTACTCGGTCACCAGCAGCTCCACTACTGGGAGGTGACCATTAAGGCATGCAGTGTGGAGCATTCCACCCACTTGGACAACTCCTTCAACTGGCGCCATAGCCAGGGAAGCTTCACTCCATGTTGGCATGGCAAGGGACATTGTTGCACAGTCCTTTACCATATCTGAAGATGATTTTACAACCTTGAAAACTATTTTCAGAGACTCCACATTTCCTGAGATACAACATGCTCGAGCGATTTTTTTCATGGCTTCTTTTGTTATTGGTAGCTTTCGTTTCTTGAGTTCACGGAAAGTCCATTGAAACAAATGTTTCTTCTCATTCCACGATGACCAAAATAACCATGGAAAATCGTGACGTTTGTCTTTTGATGTTATGATGGTTTCAATATCTGTTTGAGCCTCACAGTACTTTGCAAAACCTTTGATAAATGAATCATCACCAAATGCTTTATGCAGAGCAACCATATATGGAAAACCAGAGCGTATTTCAGTCACAAATCTTTCAGACAAGAAATCAAATTGACCACTCTCTAATGTAAAATTTTCCTCTTCACTTTTTTTCTGATTTGGAGAATTCACAAGCACTCTCTCACACAGAAATGTCCCAGAACAAATCTCCAGCAGATGTTTAGGATATTTCTCACCAAATACAACAGCAACAGCATCGTATATACAGCTATCGATGAAGATAAAGGAGTCCTTGTTTGCAGACCTTTTCAGGTACGGCCCTTCATGCAGAAGATCCTTGGCGGCTGAATCTAGCTGGACCCAGGTACATTCATATGGCAACATGTCAAGAACCTTGTATGCTTTCTTTACAATGAGACTGTCTTCTGATAGATCATTCAAGAAAGAGTCTTTAAGTTCACCCAAAACCATCACTAGCAAAAGCACTACAAAATAGCTCTTGTCATCTCTTTGCAACAATGAATCAACTGAAAGCTTATAGTACAAAACAGGCTTCTGGAAGAACTCGAGGGCTTTTTCTTTGTGATGTAAATAGGGTGACCGTGCAAATATGTGGCAACATTTCAGGAAGACAGGTGTGGAATTACTCTCACAGTCTACAATTTTCTCCACTACGTTTTCTGGAAGGGTATCTCGTTTGAAATGCTTATACAAGATGGCTCTCTTGTTCGATGATGTCAAGGAGCCAACCAGTGTCAAATCAAAAACTGATCTTTTAGTAAAGAAATTGGAAAGTTTCAAACATGGAACACATCTTTGAAAAATTCTGTTGTTGCAACTAAAGATGAACTTTTTGTTATCTGAAACACAAACGTTAACTGAGGCAAAATACTCCCGGAAAGAATCTAGCTTCCCTTGGTCGAAGTCTGAAACTCCAAAAGTGTTTCTGATGAATATTCCCTGCTTCTTTTCAGTGTTCATCATCTGCCTCATTTCTTTCATATCAAACAGGATCAGTGGTTCAAAGTCTTGCTCTGTGTGATACCGCAGAAGTATTCTTTTAGCTATCATCGTCTTGCCTGACCCTGGAGGACCAACAATGAAGACCATCCCTTCCTCCTCCAGCACTTTCCATACGTCATTATATGCCTGTGTCTCGACAAACAGCTTCTCTTGGATCGTAATCTCCTGCATGCTCTGTGCTACAATACAAGACAAATGCAGACTGAATGAGTAAGTATGGGACACACAATTTACTACATTTTGACTCAAACGTAAATGTTCATCTTTGTTGCCTCCAAAATTACTCAAGAGATGTTTAAAAAGTTACTCTAAATCATGAAATTAATGTGTCACCTAGTTAAAGCAGGTGAAATCCACAAGGACAGGCATTGTGCTTACTGAAATGGATCCTGGCATGGCCAAGGGATGCAACTCTGCCCAGGAATGGTACCATCTCAGGCCATAGTGGCACAAGTGTGAAGGGCACATTTTACATTAATGTTACATTTATGGAATACTTCTTCAGAAGTACACCTATTGTTAGCTGGCACCCTGTGCAAGAAGCGGCACCTGAGTAGCACCTACTTTGTATGTGAAGGCCAGGTTCACTTGTTGACCGCTTATAGATATGTTTGTTGTAATGGAAGGATCCCACAGCTTGCACATTGTTTGAGTGGTTGACAGCCACTGCCAGTGTTCTCTTGTCTTCAGGGGACACAGCAGCTACTTGCCCTGTCATGGAAATAGGAGCATTACAGACATAGCAATCGACTATCGGGCCATCCAATTTTACGTTACTTTATTCGACGTAATAAACATGACAAATCAAACATAACACAGGAATTATTAATGTGGTATAGTTAATAAGGTTTAGAGGTACTGAATGTGTTCAAAGACTGATGTTTGTGTGGACATAGAAGGGTTAGACACAAATTTGAAAGATTTTGACATGCACTTGGTGCACATAGACATAAATAACAGGTTGCATATTTCTTTAATAGGTTGCACCGGTGCATGTCTTATGTAGCTAAATCAAGTCCTGCAAAGACATAATACCTGTCATCACCTCTGACCCCCAAAGACCCATGAAGATTCCGGGGTAGAATAGGTCTTCAGCAACCAATGCTTCCCGTAAAAGGTGACTATGCTTGTCGTAAAAGGCGACTAACGGGATCGGGTGGTCAGGCTCGCTGACTTGGTTGATGCATGTCATCGATCCCAATTGCATGGATTGATGCTCATGATATTAATCACTGGATTGTCTGGTCCAGGTTCGATTATTTACAGACCGCCGTCATATAGCTGGAATATTGCTGAGTGCGGCGATTAACAACAAACAAACAAACCAAATCTGACCCCCAAATATCAGGATTTAATTTAACTTACTTGATCTGTTAACAAACAGATGGTTATTTCTCTCCAGGGATGACCATGCAGCATCATCGCCACAAGGTAGTGCTAGTGTGCCCATCTGATCCACAACAAGATCTTTCTCTATTCTTCTTGCTACAGCCAACCTTTGTTCATCAGTCAAAATATCCCCACTAGTCTGTTGGAATGGTGGTGGTGGTTGACAGAACTTACTTGAATCTTCATCTGAGCAGTCTTCCACTATTATGTGTGTCGGATTGATTATCGGATATTTGGATTCTAAACTGAAGATTTCAGCTTGAGTTTCCTGTTCATCCATCTGAAAGTGAGGAGGTTCCTCCAAAGATGGTAGAGATGATATACTTAGCATCTCAGCAGCTCCACCATAATTCTGTTCTTCTCTCTCAGTGTCAGTGCTTCTCTCTGCCTGTGATGTCATCTTTTCATCCAAGTCTTGTATCTCTGGTGATGTCTCAGCCTTCACACATATTTCTTTCTGACTTCTACCCCTCTCTTGTACATCTGTCTCGCTCTCGTCTGTTTCAGTCACCCCTGTCTCACTTCTGCCCATCTCACTTCTGTCCATCTCACTTCTGCTCTTCTCATTTCTAGCCATCTCACTTCTGCTCTTCTCACTACTGCCTATCAAACGTCTATTTGTCTCACGTCTGCCTATTTCACATCTGCCCATCTCACTTCTATCCGTCTCACCTCTGCTCATGCCTGTCACACTTTCTTTTGTCCCACTTCTTGAACACTCATTTATCATCTCCCTTCTACCCACGACACTCCTCCCAGTCATGTGTCCCCCCGTCTGCCTTCTGTCCATCTCCCCATGTCTTACTATTGTATTCCCCTCAACAAGTTCCTTGCCCTTTGGAAAAGTCTTTTTCTCCTTTTCAATCTGCAATGTTATCCGTGAATCATCCAGACTATTGTCGGGATAAGTACCGCATGTGGCTGACGAATCAAGTACTGGCCAGTATCCGCCTGACTCTGTACCATGGAAACTGCATATTGTGGGCTCAGCTGTGTAGTCTCCATCTGAAGCTGAATGTGCATCAGCATGACTCTCCTCATCGTCACGACAACGCATGGTACAATCATTCCTTCCTTTCTCAAGCCCAGTGGACAATGTGCCATCACATGTGACCCCATTTGCCATCTGACTGTTTGGGTGCTGTCCATCTAAGGTCATATCTCTCATCATCTTCATCAGAGAAGCATCCTCAGAGACATCTGCCTCAACTGCTGGATCTGTTCCAGCCGATGTTTCATGAGGTTTGGATGGTGTCTGAGTATCACCTAGCCCTTCACAGACAGCTGTGGACTTCAGTTGACAGTCAGATAGAACTGCTTTGATTTCTTTCTCCATCCTCTTAGGTATTTCATCAAATGTGAATCCCCCCGATGGATAATTTCTGGAATTAAAGAATGAATCCTCTGAGCTATCGGTCATAACACTGCTTGTCACTGAACAGTGCATATTGGACCGGAACTCCCCCAAAATGTCCTTCATGGTAAACGGAGAGTCAACAGAACTATCCTGCCCACTGGTCGTCAGTTGCAACATGAGAGCTGAATCACTGTCAGTCCGTTGATCTCCAGGTAATCCTGGTGTGGCAGGGGGATTTAAGTCTTTGTATTGTCTTTCAGAACCCCCCACAGCGCCATATTTGCCCGGTGACCAATGGTCCATAGGTACATTCACAGAGCCCTGCTTGGTTAGATGCCTTTGATCAGGCTGAACATAAGAATAAGTGTCCATATTGTTTACTCCAATGCCTGCAATGCTGGGTGTGGAAGGGTATCTGATGCTATCTGTCTGCAGAGGCTGGGTGTGACAGAGAGGCACATCACCCTGTCCCACAGCCTGAACAGGAATGCCTCTCACTTTAGATTCATTCGATGAACTGTGCACTGAGGAGTGGGCAGGACCAATGTCAGAAAGATCTATCAGGTCATCAGGACCACTGGATGCTGCTCCGTGGCTGGTTTCTGGTTTTCTGCAATGTCTGTCTACAGCTTGTTCCTCAACACCAGGGAACACACAAACAAGACGTGACTGTCTGGGCTTTGACTGTCTGGGCTTACTGGACATCATATAGGGTTCCGCACTATGCTGTCACTACTCCATGACCATCGCTCTCATAGCTGGCTGGAGCTCAATTGGTAGATGCTTGTTCACAGAGCTCTATTGTGTCTTGTGTTAAAGCCATCTTGACTCTCAGAATGTATGTGTCTGAAATACAATAAATACAATTACAATAAAGTTCTGAAGCTCACCTGCATATTTGTTCTGATATGTTCAACAGTATAAAATAAAAACTGAGATAGACCTCTTTAAATCACTCCAAATCCAATCCTTGTTAGTCCTACATAAATGTGTAGTGAAATTGTATGTATTGTCAACATTAACACTAATCAGCGTTAAAACTTGGGGGGGATTGCTCCTATGGCATATGAGTCTAGGATCCCTGTAAACATTTAACATTAGGCTATGACAAGGAGTCAAGGACTTTTGTGATTAAAACACTTGTTAAACTTGACTGTGACTTATTCCAGTGCTAGCCAGGGTTAGACCATCTTCCCGAGGCAAGAGCGTCCACTAGCCTTTCTATAAAAGACTTGTTTCCACCCTTGCCACATCAAGCCCACTTTCCTGTCCTATTGAGTGAGTGAGTTGGGTTAACGCTGCTTCTAACAGTATTCCAGTTATATCGCGGCGTGTCAGCTTAATGTGGGAGGAAAGCCTGAAGTGATACAGGTCTCAAACGTTTACGTCTTCAGTGAAACCCACGAGCACTGGTATGGTGCTGACAAACCTAGAAACATAATCGGGGCAAACCGGGATTCGAACCCACAATCATAAGTTTCTGGCGTGCCCAAGGGACGCAACTCTGCACAGCGAGTCGGGGTGCCTAAGACGACTGGGCCACCCATGCCCCCCTTTCCTGTCCTAAATATGATTGGACTATTGCACATATCGATAGTCCAATAAGAGAACTATTTAACCGAGACGACTACCCGATCACCCCCATGGGACCAGAGCAAACTTTCTCAGAAAGAGTATAGTTTTGCCCTGAAGTATAAAAATCATCAATGCACTTGGATGTAAGTGTCCTCGTGCTTGAACTTTTATAGTTCAGTGGAAAACCATACTTTATTACACTACACATGAGAGTAGAGCAAACTTTATTTCTTAAATAAATAGAGATTATCAGCTGAGAGTGTACTCATTTAAAAATATTACATATTAAATATTGAAACTGTATTATGCAAGACCTTGCAAATTTAATACATACTTTTTATTCCTGTTCATATGGTATAATTATGATACCGAAAAACACAAAGGAATCAAAATCTTTATCACATTATGTCATGCTTAAAATAATTGACATATTTTCATCCCAAGGTAACATTAGAAACAGAGTCAGAATACACTGCCTGAGTGAATTGCCCCATGACCTAGTGCCCCCAACCCATGAAGATCCGGGGTAGAATAGGTCTCCAGCAACCCATGCTTGCCGTAAAAGGCGAATATGCTTCTTGTATGAGACGACTAATGGGATCGGGTGGTCAGGCTCGCTGACTTGCTTGATGCATGTCATCGTATCCCAATTGTGTGAACGATACTCCTGATATCAATCACTGGATTGTCTGCTCCAGACTTTATTATTTACATACCGCCGTCATATAGCTGGAATATTGCTGAGTGCGGCGTTAAAAAACAAATAAATAAACAAAACATAGTGCCCCAATGCATTGGGAAACCCCTGTCTAAATTGCCATACAAAATCAATCATTATGAACTGCATGAACGATTTTACAAGAACAATCTGTTCAGTATGTGTAACACTTACACAATATGTGTATCAGTGATGGTAACATATGTTACATTGGTAGCAGGTTACACCCTCCAAGTTTGACACAGGGCTAGACAACCTATTCACAGTGTTAATGGGGTGGTAGCACCTGTCTTACATTGGTAGCAGGTTACACCCTCCAAGTTTGACACTGGGCTAGACAACCTATTCACAGTGTAAATGGGATGGTAGCACCTGTCTTACATTGGTAGCAGGTTACACCCTCCAAGTTTGACACAGGGCTAGACAACCTATTCACAGTGTTAATGGGGTGGTAGCACCTGTCTTACATTGGTAGCAGGTTACACCCTCCAAGTTTGACACAGGGCTAGACAACCTATTCATAGTGTTAAGGGGATGGTAGCACCTGTCTTGGTAGCACCTGTCTTACATTGGTAGCAGGTTACACCCTCCAAGTTTGACACAGGGCTAGACAACCTATTCATAGTGTTAAGGGGATGGTAGCACCTGTCTTACATTGGTAGCAGGTTACACCCTCCAAGTTTGACACAGGGCTAGACAACCTATTCACAGTGTTAAGGGGATGGTAGCACCTGTCTTACATTGGTAGCAGGTTACACCCTCCAAGTTTGACACAGGGATAGACAACCTATTCACAGTGTAAATGGGATGGTAACACCTGTCTTACATTGGTAGCAGGTTACACCCTCCAAGTTTGACACAGGGCTAGACAACCTATTCAAAGTGTTAAGGGGATGGTAGCACCTGTCTTACATTGGTAGCAGGTTACACCCTCCAAGTTTGACACTGGGCTAGACAACCTATTCACAGTGATAATGGGATGTTAGCACCTGTCTTACATTGGTAGCAGGTTACACCCTCCAAGTTTGACACTGGGCTAGAGAACCTATTCATAGTATTAATGGGATGGTAGCACCTGTCTTGGTAGCACCTGTCTTACATTGGTAGCAGGTTACACCCTCCAAGTTTGACACAGGGCTAGACAACCTATTCATAGTGTTAAGGGGATGGTAGCACCTGTCTTACATTGGTAGCAGGTTACACCCTCCAAGTTTGACACAGGGCTAGACAACCTATTCATAGTGTTAAGGGGATGGTAGCACCTGTCTTACATTGGTAGCAGGTTACACCCTCCAAGTTTGACACGGGGCTAGACAACCTATTCATAGTGTTAAGGGGATGGTAGCACCTGTCTTACATTGGTAGCAGGTTACACCCTCCAAGTTTGACACAGGGCTAGACAACCTATTCATAGTGTTAAGGGGATGGTAGCACCTGTCTTACATTGGTAGCAGGTTACACCCTCCAAGTTTGACACAGGGCTAGACAACCTATTCACAGTGATAATGGGATGGTAGCACCTGTCTTACATTGGTAGCAGGTTACACCCTCCAAATTTGACACAGGGCTAGACAACCTATTCATAGTGTTAAGGGGATGGTAGCACCTGTCTTGGTAGCACCTGTCTTACATTGGTAGCAGGTTACACCCTCCAAGTTTGACACAGGGCTAAACAACCTATTCACAGTGTAAATGGGGTGGTAGCACCTGTCTTACATTGGTAGCAGGTTACACCCTCCAAGTTTGACACAGGGCTAGACAACCTATTCACAGTGTAAATGGGATGGTAACACCTGTCTTACATTGGTAACAGGTTACACCCTCCAAGTTTGACACAGGGCTAGACAACCTATTCAAAGTGTTAAGGGGATGGTAGCACCTGTCTTACATTGGTAGCAGGTTACACCCTCCAAGTTTGACACTGGGCTAGACAACCTATTCACAGTGATAATGGGATGGTAGCACCTGTCTTACATTGGTAGCAGGTTACACCCTCCAAGTTTGACACGGGGCTAGACAACCTATTCATAGTATTAATGGGATGGTAGCACCTGTCTTGGTATCACCTGTCTTACATTGGTAGCAGGTTACACCCTCCAAGTTTGACACAGGGCTAGACAACCTATTCATAGTGTTAAGGGGATGGTAGCACCTGTCTTACATTGGTAGCAGGTTACACCCTCCAAGTTTGACACAGGGCTAGACAACCTATTCATAGTGTTAAGGGGATGGTAGCACCTGTCTTACATTGGTAGCAGGTTACACCCTCCAAATTTGACACAGGGCTAGACAACCTATTCACAGTGTTAAGGGGATGGTAGCACCTGTCTTGGTAGCACCTGTCTTACATTGGTAGCAGGTTACACCCTCCAAGTTTGACACAGGGCTAGACAACCTATTCATAGTGTAAATGGGGTGGTAGCACCTGTCTTACATTGGTAGCAGGTTACACCCTCCAAGTTTGACACTGGGCTAGACAACCTATTCACAGTGTTAATGGGGTGGTAGCACCTGTCTTGGTAGCACCTGTCTTACATTGGTAGCAGGTTACACCCTCCAAGTTTGACACAGGGCTAGACAACCAATCATAGTGTTAAGGGGATGGTAGCACCTGTCTTACATTGGTAGCAGGTTACACCCTCCAAGTTTGACACAGGGCTAGACAACCTATTCATAGTGTTAAGGGGATGGTAGCACCTGTCTTACATTGGTAGCAGGTTACACCCTCCAAGTTTGACACAGGGCTAGACAACCTATTCACAGTGTAAATGGGATGGTAACACCTGTCTTACATTGGTAGCAGGTTACACCCTCCAAGTTTGACACAGTGCTAGACAACCTATTCACAGTGTTAAGGGGATGGTAGCACCTGTCTTACATTAGTAGCAGGTTACACCCTCCAAGTTTGACACTGGGCTAGACAACCTATTCACAGTGATAATGGGATGGTAGCACCTGTCTTACATTGGTAGCAGGTTACACCCTCCAAGTTTGACACTGGGCTAGACAACCTATTCATAGTATTAATGGGATGGTAGCACCTGTCTTGGTAGCACCTGTCTTACATTGGTAGCAGGTTACACCCTCCAAGTTTGACACAGGGCTAGACAACCTATTCATAGTGTTAAGGGGATGGTAGCACCTGTCTTACATTGGTAGCAGGTTACACCCTCCAAGTTTGACACAGGGCTAGACAACCTATTCATAGTGTTAAGGGGATGGTAGCACCTGTCTTACATTGGTAGCAGGTTACACCCTCCAAATTTGACACAGGGCTAGACAACCTATTCACAGTGTTAAGGGGATGGTAGCACCTGTCTTGGTAGCACCTGTCTTACATTGGTAGCAGGTTACACCCTCCAAGTTTGACACAGGGCTAGACAACCTATTCACAGTGTTAATGGGGTCGTAGCACTTGTCTTACATTGGTAGCAGGTTACACCCTCCAAGTTTGACACAGGGATAGACAACCTATTCACAGTGTAAATGGGATGGTAGCACCTGTCTTACATTGGTAGCAGGTTACACCCCCAAGTTTGACACAGGGCTAGAC